GTTCAACATTGCAGTGTCATCCTGGTCACAAAAGTTGATAAAATCGTTTATGTGCAGCACTGAAGAAGGTGTATCGCACATCTGATTTCTCTGTTGTATGAGTCCTTCGCAGTCAATGATGACATGTTTTCTACAGTCCGGTACTATGGTGTGACATAGTGTACATGTGACATAACCAGGTTTTACTGATGCCAGATATATCATGGATGATATGTACAGTCTGTGTTGGATGAACGTATGCTATTTTCCACAAATGATGCACACCCACTGTCGTGTGAATGTCATAAAAGGTTTGTAGCCCTGGTTTGTTGTGAGGCACGCTGGAGTTTAATGCCTGTTCATATTGATTAAGAATCTTCTTGACCACAGAGCACCATCTCTGTTTGTCCATAAAAGTGCCATATTTAAGATAAGTCAAGCAGTATTTCTTTTATATTATATTTTCTAAACAGTAAAACTGTCTCTTGTATAAATCTGCTGTTAATATTGAAACCTGCTATACAGTTGCCTAAATGCCATAGGAAAATGTCTTCGATATGAAGGAATTATTCTGTCTACATAGTCGGCCAAAGAATAATAGTTGACATTTGTCTATATATGTGTGCATTGACCACAGTCAATCTGCTGTTATGGTGGGCTCGCATGCTGATCTGGAAGGGAATCATTGTGCACGTCGGGCAAACTTTCTCTGGGTGGTTTCAAGTTTTGTGTATGAAGCATCAGATATGTTGGTGAACAACTCACATGAGTAGAGAGCATTTGGCAAGATAACAGTTCGCCATTTCCTTGCACGTATGATAGGATTAAACCCAAGGAAATGTAATCCGGAGTTATAAAGAGAGTTTAGTGTTTTCAATGCTTTGTAATTCAATTCGTCCGTTAAACATAGTGTTATGGGAGAAGATAACTCCTCCATATATCGTCTGCTCCACTCTATTAATTGTTTCTCCGCCTATGGTGAGGTTAAATGACAATGGCCTTTTAACGCTCGTGTTGAAAGCAATGACACAGCTTTTGGACGGGTTGTAGGTAAGTCTCCATTTCAGGGCATACGCGTCTACAGTGTCTATGAGGTCCTGCATGCCTTTAAGTGTAGTGCTAAGTTAGGTAGTATCATCTGCCAGAGTAACGTCGGAATGGTCATGCTTGCTATTTGGATGCCAGTGCCTGTACGTTTCAGTTCTTTAATAAGTTCATCAATGTAAACCAGAATTAGCCATGCTGATTGGACTCTTCCTTGTCCAACACCTCTAGGTATTGCAAAATATTCTGATTGTTGACCTTGAAATGTAACATAAGATATTCCTGTGGTATAAGAATGTTTGATAAATCGCCAACACTTTCCATTTATTCCAAGTGTGAAGAGTTTTTTTCAGCAGTCCATTGTGCCAAATCTTATCAAACGCCTTTTCGTTATCGAGAAAAGTGCAGTAGAGTACTGACTGGCATTGTTTGAAATATGCAATACATTCTTGCAGAGTTAGTGCTGCAAACTGAGTCCCACTCCTCTTCCGAAATCCAAACTGTAAGTCATCGGGGAAGATAATGTTACGGTTGATCCATCTTTGTATTCTCTCCATGATTACTTTCTCTAGCAGTGTTCCGATAGCTGATGTCATGATGATACCACGGTAGATTTTCGGGATTTTCGGGGCCACATTTGTCTTTTCCATTTTGTTTATAAAGTGCAATCGTGAACCCAGTTCTGTGAGGTAATGGAGAATACTCGTGTTTTATTTTTAGGTGAAAGAGAATCACAAGATGATGTAGTAACCTATCTTCAGCATGCCTTATATGTTCATTAGTCCCTCCATCAGGACCAGAGGACTTCCGATATTTTAGTGTCTTTACCACACAGCTAATTTCGTCTGATATAAATGGATCTTTCAAGTGTTATATTGTCCAAGGGACTTTCTGTTTAATACTTGTATCTCGTGGTCAGATACATTGAATTTATTATTTCTGTTTGAATAGTCGGGAGTTGCCAAATCCCTGAAATAGTCTCTCCAGGTGTTAACAATACTGACAGGATCGTTTGCTACTTTGTCGTTGTACTTCAAAGTGTTTATTGTTGACTGTTTCCTTCTGATACTTTTGGTTCTCCTGTAAAAGTAGCCCACATCTACATCACAACTCTGTTCAATATCCCTGTATAGCTCTTCTGCAAGTCTACAATCGGCTTGACGTTTATTCCTGCGAAAGTTTCTTTTAGCATTTTTGTAGTTTTTATCACGTGGTCTACCTGCTCGTTTCCATTCTCTGCGGTGACATCTCATATCATAATGGTAGGCATCCAGTTTATCCGACTTTCAGTAAGATCTCAGGTAATGTCGATATACACCATTAGGGATTGTTGTTACCGAGGCTGAGAGGAGACTGTTTGTTACACGTGAGGTGTATCTCTCTATCATAGATACCATGTCTGTCTGACCGCCTCCGTGGTCTTGTGGTAGAGCGTCCGCCCGGAGAGCGGAAGGTCCGGGGTTCGATCTCGGGCCGCGTCATACCAAAAGATGGTATTTGTTGTTACCCTGTCTGGCGCTCGGCATTAAGGGGCTAAAACAAGGACTGGTCGGCTCGGAGTCAGTATACTGTGTCTGAGTGGGGTATTCATGTTAAACTGTGGCATGGTTTCTCAGTGAGCTAGCACTATAAATCGGCATCAGTCCGGACTAGTACAAGCAGCCACACAAACACACACACGTGCATGCACGTCGCTATATAAGTGCAATAATCTTGGACGCGACGTTAAACCCCATTACACCTCACCACCTTATTTCTCTAAAACTCAAGATACATGAACCAGGTTTGTTAGAGATTGTTGTTACCGAGGCTGAGAGGAGACTGTTTGTTACACGTGAGTTGTATCTCTCTATCATAGATACCATGACTGTCTGCTGGTTACTGTCCATTGTGAAGTTCAGGAGCTTATCAACTCCACTGCTGTACAATTTAATATCTGTATCATCAGCGTTTGACCATTTGGCTGAGATCTTAGAGGAGCGATTGTTGAAGGACGAGCAACGTTGTATACGAAGTATGCTGCATATCGGATAGTGATCAGATACATCATATGACACTGTAGCTGTCTATGTAGCCCCGCATATATTCAGGAATGCATATGTAGTCCACAGTTGACTTCCTCGTATTGTCCTTGGAGCGAAAGGTAGCTTTGGGCACTTCAGGGCAGATAATGGATGTTGTTATTATATTCCTTTCGTTGAATAGCCGTTCCGTTAGAAGCTTTGTCCCTTGGCTAGTTGGAAAGTGGTTAATATCAGCGTTGAGGTCACCAGCTGTTACACATGTTCCGACACAAGAATATATTTGTCATAAATGTTACATGGTGCACCCATGGCGGCTTATACTGGCTAATGTTCCGATTAGTTGAAGGTAGCCTTGTCCCAAGTACATATAAATCTTCAAACCTAGGTTTAACAATCTTTGTTATCACAACGTGATTATCTTCAGATAGTACTTGCTTCGCTGTATATTCTGTCGATGTCCTGAGTAAAATAGCAATACCTCCAGATCCACGATTACTGGCACAGGTATCATCACAGATCAGTGTTTACATTAAATTTATTATCCAATGAATGAAGATAGTTGAGATTGTCTGCTTTTAGCCAGTGTTCGGTAATAACAACCACATCGTTGTTATAAAGGAGCGAGATGAGCCGTGGTGTTCCATACATAAACTCCCCTGACATTCCAGGTCGATATTCGATTGGTGCACATTTAAAATGTATAGGATACAAATGTAGTTTATGTTCATGGTGAATATATGTTATATCCTAGTGGTCACTTTCCAAATATCGTTCACGTTGTCTTACAGGGTCGCGTGACCATACTTCGTCACGACCACGTGACCAGTCCTCATCGTGATTACGTGGCCAATATTCATCACGTTCACGTGAAAAGTCTTCAACATGCTTTCGTGGCCTGTAGTTATCAGAACGGTTCATCTCGGATCTTGGTACATATTGTCTGCAGAATATACCATCAGGCCAGAAATCATCAGTTATTTTATCAGCATCTTCAGCATCAATGTTCACTTGTATTGTGTAGGATGTGTTGTTGCCGCGGTTGTCACACCATGTTTTCATGAGACGAATATGAGTAACTCTCACATGATTATCTGAAGCGTAGTTACCAACTGTCTTTCAACAGTGTTGAATGGAGAGTCCGCTTCAACTCGTGATAGAACTAGTTTAAGAACTCTTTTCCTCTTAATTCCAGTGAACATTAAGTTAACACCCGCACTACTTTTACTGTTAACAGCTGTTACTGTGGTTAAGTTTCTTGGTTTGGAAGGTGATCTTTGGACGACTTGACCCGTGAAGATTCCGGGTCGAATAGGTCTTCAGCAACCCATGCTTGCCGTAAAAGGTGACTATGCTTGTCGTAAAAGGCGACTAACGGGATCGGGTGGTCAGGCTCGCTGACTTGGTTGATGCATGTCATCGATCCCAATTCCGTGGATCGATGCTCATGATATTAATCACTGGATTGTCTGGTCCAGACTCAATTATTTACAGACCGCCGTCATATAGCTGGAATATTGCTGAGTGGTGCGTTAAACAACAAACAAATAAACAAAACAAAAACATGGTATTTCCGGTGTTGCGTGCTCACGGTAGTAATTTGGCGTTGGGCAAAACCTATCAAAACTCATTATGACTTGTAGTATGTGCACCCCCTTTATACAGCTGTATCTTTAGGAAAATAAAGTGTGCACTATACCCAAGAAAGTACGCTGCTTGAAATCAGATTTCCTTTCCTGAAATATGTCTGTAAATGAATGTTAGACTGAACATATATGCTTTGAAGCGTAACTGATACGTTTTAAAAATTATCCCCTAAGGTATCGTGCATGATTTCACCCGTACATTAGCCGATACGGCCTTATCTGGAGCCCTGAACGTGCATGTGATGTCCTGTTTTATTGCCATGGCAACTGCAACAACGTGGTTTCCAAACATGAGATGCTCAAGAGATTTATTGAAATGTTAAACAAAACACGAATAACATGAATAACTGCTTCTCTTTATACAAGTCATTAATGCGGAAGAACACTCACGTTGCCACATGAGCAGATCTATTGTAAAATATTTTGAAAATTAATGTGTAAATGAGTGTACCACGAGGCTACAGAGGCCCTGATGAATCACAGTGCTTTTAAGAATGTCGTTTTCAAATACCGTACGTCAGCAACAGATATTTTACGTGCGTTTCCCAAGGTTCATGCAAAGTATGTTTGAAACATAAAAATGTTGATAAATGCTGTTTTAAGTTTCTTTTTTTCGGTTTATAAGTTCCCCTCGTTTATTTGTGATATTCAAAACTCTTATCCTTGGGATTAATCCTATATATCTTGGAAATATCATGTAAAATATGTACAAGGACATGGGGAGGGTCATCGAAATAAGACAAGCATTAGGGGAGCGTCTTTACTGTACTCCCGACATAAAGGGGCGGGGGTATAAAGTTATACCAAGGAATTCCGTGGGTACTTCCGAAGATTTTGTGTGTGCGACTACTGCCTAGATTCTTTTGAAACTTGGTGAACACTTTCTATTGGAGGTGCATTGCGAAGTTTGATTTCAATATTTGGGTTTTCTGTAAAAATACAGCTTTTACTTACAATGATTTTACTTAAACATTTGTGCGAATTATAGCTTGAAAACTACTTCATGGATTCTTTTCAAATTTAGGGAACAGTTTCCATTCCATATTAATGGAAGACGTGCAGTGCAAAGTTTGATTTTCATGTGTGTATTTTCTTAAAAACTACTTCCTGGATTCGTTTACAATTGGGGTTGCAGTTTCTATACAAGTAGAGGAGGTGCGGAGCAAAGTTTCATTTTGATATTTGTATTTCAGAAAACGATATGATTTTTTTCCTGTTTTGAACTTTGAAATATGTTGGAGTCGAGGTCGGGATGTTTTAGTGAGCCCTGCTCACTTTTTGCCTTGTTTTCAATACATTAATGCATCAAAAACATCCCACCCTGTCATAAATGACCGGTCCATTAGTATTATAAATTTGACACATATGTATATACACACAGAAAACAGATACCCTCGCAGACATACGAAAGTACTTGGTAAAAAAATAAATATCATTTACAATATTAATATACTTCGCAAAATATCTAACTTTCCTTAACCTCATGGAAGTTAATCCGAGTTTTAGCTTGCATATCTTAGCAAAGCATTAACCCCTAAAAATAATTGAATACATCAATTGCAGAATGACACCTCCTTGGAGAGAGACATTTGGACTGCTAAGTAAGTTGCAGACTGACGAACTTTATTCAAATACAACGGAAGGGAGATCACGACATAGCATCTGTATAGATAATATATGTCTTTGGTGATAATTTTTAAACAGGTACCCTTTTCCCACAAAGGGAATAATACTGACAATGTAAAAAACAATGTTAAATATATTTGCACACCAGTATTTAAGAATCACATGTATAGATGAATAAAATCATGAATGTTTAACGTAATTTGGCAAAACAAATATAATATGCCTGAAATTCTGATTCAATACCTTTTGTGTTGTAATACTGTTCGAGGAATACTTTAGCAGATGCAATGCTGGCACAAGAATATTAACAGAAGCAATGATCAGATTCATGGCATAGTGTGAGTGAGTGAATATGGTTTTACGCTGCTTTTAGCAATACGAGGGCGGGCACCACCGACAAGGCTTCAAACATTGCACCCAGTCCGGAATCAAACACGGACCTAACATAAAGGGGGCGGTGGGGTAGCCTAGTGGTTAAAGCGTTCGCTCGTCACGCCGAAGACCCGGGTTCGATTCCCCACATGGGTACAATGTGTGAAGCCCATTTCCGGTGTCCCCCGCCGTGATATTGCTGGAATAATGCTAAAAGCGGCGTAAAATCATACTCACTCACTATAACATATAGATTGTGTATAATGCAAAATATAAAACGATAAAAATCATTTTCATATTCATGATAAATCTCTGCTTAAAAAGCAGACTCGGTTGTACGATTCCCACTATGACGTGTTAATGAATCACAGTGGATACTAAAGTACTTGGTAAAAAAAATATATCATTTACAATATTAATATGCTTCGCAAAATATCTAACTTTCCTTAACCTCATGGAAGTTAATCCGAGTTTTAGCTTGTATATCTTAGCAAAGAATTAACCCCTAAAAATAATTGAATTCATCAATTGCAGAATGACACCTCCTTAGAGAGAGACATTTGAACTGCTAAGTAAGTTGCAGACTGACGAACTTTATTCAAATACAACGAAAGGGAGATCACGACATAGCATCTGTATAGATAATATATGTCTTTGGTGATAATTTTTAAACAGGTACCCTTTTCCCACAAAGGGAATAATACTGACAATGTAAAAAACAATGTTAAATATATTTGCACACCAGTGTATAAAAATCACATGTATAGATAAATAAAATCATGAATGTTTAACGTAATTTGGCAAAACAAATATAATATGCCTGAAATTCTGATTCAATACCTTTTGTGTTGTAATACTGTTCGAGGAATACTTTAGCAGATGCAATGCTGGCACAAGAATATTAACAGAAGCAATGATCAGATTCATGGCATAGTGTGAGTGAGTGAATATGGTTTTACGCTGCTTTTAGCAATACGAGGGCGGGCACCACCGACAAGGCTTCAAACATTGCACCCAATCCGGAACAAACACGGACCTAACATAAAGGGGGCGGTCGGGTAGCCTAGTGGTTAAAGCGTTCGCTCGTCACGCCGAAGACCCGGGTTCGATTCCCGACATGGGTACAATGTGTGAAGCCCATTTCCCGTGATATTGCTGGAATATTGCTAAAAGCGGCGTAAAATCATACTCACTCACTATAACATATAGATTGTGTATAATGCAAATACAAACGATAAAAATCATTTTCATATTCATGATAAATCTCTGCTTAAAAAGCAGACTCGGTTGTACGATTCCCACAATGACGTGTTAATAAATCACATAGGAGCAGCACTTTTGGGGTGACCTAGCAACCAGCATACTTTAGAGAATATAGAACACCCGAGCAACACTTCTCTGAATATCAGAAGAAAATATAATCGAAACAACGTTGTTGGTATAATCTGATGAGATTGCACGACTGCCTTAGAGAATAGTACACCCCCAGCAACATTGTTGGGGGTAGTCGGGTGAGTACACCTTCCTCTCGTTGCCGTACACCCAGTAGCGTGTCGTCACATCCTTCCAGTTGTAGTTCACCTCCGTCACGGGGACGCCCCTCAACACTTGCCGCTGAAACACGGAGGGTATGAGTATACAGTGAGTGAGTTAAAATTTAACGTCGCATCGGTATTATTTGAGCCATATAGCGACTAAGTCGTCATATGTATTAGGACACCTTTTTGGACTGATATTTTAGTTAGTGAGTAAATGAGTGATTGAATTTCAAGCCAAACTCAGCAATATTCCCGCTACAGCCTTCCAGTCTGTTAATTGTGCCTGTACCAGGAACTCTTATTTCCTGAAGTTTGGGAGACATGCCATATTTCACCCAAGTTTACTATTTACTGTTTATCTATTGTTCATTTAGTCCACTTCAAAATGGGCGGTCGGGTAGCCTAGTGGTTAAAGCGTTCGCTCGTCACGCAGAAGACCCGGGTTCGATTCCCGACTTGGGTACAATGTGTGAAGCCCATTTGTGGTGTCCCTCGCCGTGATATTGCTGGAATATTGCTAAAAGCTGCGTAAAACCATACTCACTCACTCACTCCACTTCAAAATCTGGCATGAACAAACACTCCTGAGAAATCTAGACATTTTGTCTGAAACTACATGAAATGTGTACATTGCACCCTGGTAAAGATCCGGGTTAGGATTGGTCTTTTGTAATGCATTTCGTAAGAGGGCTGGTCAAAAATCAACTATGGGCCATAACAAAGTGATCTAGTCAATGTAGTGCATTGTTTGAGTACTTCATTGCAAGTGTATTTGGTCTGTTGAACTTTTTTACCAGGCCTCGTAAGAGGCGACTAACGGGATCGTGTGTTCAGGCTCGCTGACTTGGTTGATGCATGTCATCGTATCTAAAGTACTTAGATTGAAGCTCATGATGTCAAATGGATCGCTGGTCCAGACTCGATTACTTACACCCCCCGAAATACACCTGGACTATTACTGTGTAAAACAACAAACAGATATTACTTTACATATGATAATACCACCCACGAGTGGGGGGCACGGGTGGCCCATTCGTCTAAGGCGCCGCGATTCGCTGTGCGGAGTTGCGTCCCTTCGGACGCGCCAGAAACCTATGATTGTTGGTTCGAATCCCGGTTCGCCCCGATTATGTTTCTAGGTTTGTCAGCACCATTCCCGTGCTCGTGGGTTTCACCGAAGTGGTAAACGTCTGAGACCTGCATCACTTCGGGCTTTCCTCCCACATTAAGCTGACACGCCTGATATAACTGGAATACTGTTAAAAGCGGCGTTTAACACAACTCACTCACTCACTCTTCACATTACGCTGCATGAAGATATACCTGCATGAGTTGTCTGGCGCCAGGGAATGCCCCCTTGTGTTGGTTCACCAGTCTGATGGAGCTGTCGTTGATTTCTCTGACGAAGTAGGACGTGATTGGCCACACCTAGAGTGAAATGTTTTAGCGAGTGATACATATGTTGATGATCGTCGCAGTCAGCAATAATAGCTATAACACTTATCACCACGTGTTCACAAAATGTTATGTTATCTATGTATTCGGGGTATGACCATTTCCAATTGCATGGGGATGTTTTCTTTGCGCATGAAGCACGTGCACCAGGCTCTGGGGAGTGTTTTGCTTTAAAATACACATGCAGAGTGCCGTTCCACATAACGGTTTTAGCGCTATGACTATCGAAAGTCAATGTTAGAGTATGGGAGTCCAATCCTTGTGACAGTGAGTGAGTATGGTTTTACGCCGCTTTCAGCAATATTCCAGCAATATCACGGCGAGGGACACCAGAAATGGTTTTTCACACATTGTACCCATGTCGGGAATCGAACCCGGGTCTTCGGCGTGACGAGCGAACGCTTTAACCACTAGGCTACCCGACCGCCCCTCCAAGCTAGATTGGTAGAACGGAGGCCACGGCTTCGTCATTATTAGCTTTACAACCTCTTTGTGTTTTGTCATCAATTATATAGACATCGTGTACATCTTCTGAAGGGATTTCAAAGAATAAGAAACGCCCCGCTTTTAGCCATCTCATCGTAAACCGGCACTTATTGTGAACGCAGTGTGTGTCTATGGACCTACCGGCATGAGCGTCTGTTCGAAGATCGCAGTGCCGCTCACATCCCTCACTAACTCATCAGGCATGTCAGTTTTCTCCAGGATGTAGTCGTCCTTGTTGTTTTTACTGAAACAAAACCCATTCTACAGCTTCAGCCTTTGTTGAAACAAAGCCCATTCTACAGCTTCAGCCTTTGTTGAAACAAAACCCATTCTACAGCTTCAACCTTTGTTGAAACAAAACCCATTCTACAGCTTCAGCCTTTGTTGAAAACAAAACCCATTCTACAGCTTCAGCCTTTGTTGAAACAAAACCCATTCTACAGCTTCAGCCTTTGTTGAAAACAAAACCCATTCTACCGCTTCAGCCTTTGTTGAAACAAAACCCATTCTACAGCTTGAACCTTTGTTGAAACAAAGCCCATTCTACAGCTTCAACCTTTGTTGAAACAAAGCCCATTCTACAGCTACAACCTTTGTTGAAACAAAACCCATTCTACTGAAACTGAAACATGGGGGTGTTTGGATATAGATTGAAACAGATAGTGTTGTACTGACAAATGGAAGTGTTTGTATATAGATTGAAACAGATAGTGTTGTACTGAAATATGGGGTTGTTTGGATATATACTGAAACAGATAGTGTTGTACTGAAATATGGGGTTGTTTGGATATATACTGAAACAGATAGTGTTGTACTGAAACATGGGGTTGTTTGGATGTAGATTGAAACAGATAGTGTTGTACTGAAATATGGGTGTGTTTGGATATAGATTGAAACAGATAGTGTTGTACTAAAACATGGGGTTGTTTGGATATAGATTGAAACAAAGAGTATGATACTGAAATAGATATTACACTAAGACATGATTGAGTTTGGATAGAGACTTATATTACTCTGAAACATGTGGGGCGGGGGTTGTCTAGATACAGACATATTACACTGAAACATCTGGGTAAAGATGAGCCAAATAGTATTACACTAAAACATGGGGTATTTTGTTTGGTTAGAGTGTCGTGAAACAACTTTTTCATCCTTTACAGAAACATTTATTCGTTATCAAATTTAATTCACACAAAACTGCAAATTGTATTTGACCGTATGGTTAAGATGACCATTGGCTGATAAATACGATTAACTACCAAAACGTGTGCAGGGAGTGAGTGACATCATGGCGTGCCAGCGTATATGTCGGAGGAACGCCCAAAGTGGCTCAAGACGTGTACCACTTTGGCAGTGAGTGGGTGAGTATGGTGTTACGTCGCTTTTAGCAATATTCCAGCAATATCACGACAGGGGACACCAGAAATGGGCTTCACACATTGTACCCATGTCGGGAATCGAACCCGGGGCTTCGGCTTACCCACTAGGCTACCCGACCGCCCCGACATTTTGGTAAAGGTCACGAGCATTGTGATGACAAACAAAGAAGCATTATCCAGCATTCGAATCCACGATATGGGCCCCCTGTATGATACAGCCAAGGGACGCAACTCTGTACCAGAACAAGTGCCAGCTCTTGCTGCAAGTGTATGGCTGCTGGAGAGGCAATGTTTCTGCTACACTAAGGGTAAACGCGCGTGGGTAGTGAATACTGAGTATGAAATATGCAATTAACCTTGAAGTGACTGAACATATTTGAAACTGGAAGAGAAGTTGTGATTTAAACTCACAAGGTTACTTTGAGTTGGACGTAGCATTTGAGGTTCCTGAAGCCTTGGCAAGTCCGGCATGGGATGCGTCCGTGACCGCCACACGTCAAACATCTGACAACAAGAACATGGCATGTGAGTGAGTGAGTGCGTATGGTTTTAAGCCGCTTTTAGCAATATTCCAGCAATATCACGGCGGGGGACACCAGAAATGGGCTTCACACCTTGTACCCATGTGGGGAATGGAACCCGGGTCTTCTGCGTGACGTGCGAACGCTTTAACTAACCCGACCGCCCCTGACATGGCACAGTGACTTTATAAGTCTCATCAATATATATGCTGTATATTAATGAAAACCTTCCATCACAAGACCAGCTATTTGGGTTGGGTGGTTGATGGTGCCCAGGTTGTCTGGTATCCAGGATCATCAGCCCCAATTTCATGACAATGTGATGAAGTGCATGCCGTTCTACGCTTCAGTTGGCGATATTTAAGCTACACATTGTCGACCACAAACTTATCGTGTCTGGATCAGGCCCTGAAACCAGTGGTCGAGACGTTTTAGTTATAAACCTCTGATGACTTCACACTTCAGTAACAGAAGGTTCTTCTAACTGTTGGTAAACTTCCAAGGTAGGCAATATCAACAATTCCCGGGACTTGGTGTATACATTTCAAATGGAATACCTCGGTTTAACAAATAATGTCTTATAAACTTGCCTCTTCATGAGAACACAATTGTGTTTGATGATTGGTTAAAAGTCCCAATTTTTTTAAACATGAAAAATTCCATGACATCAATCGAACCTGCAATCTCACATATCGTGTTAACTTTTGTAACCCACCGTTATCCCACTGAGCTACCGGGACAGGTTATCAGAAGTTGTTCAGTTTATCATGTCATGACTCGAAGCTGGTCCATGCTGCACGTGATTTTTCTGTCTCACGCTTTGAGCGAATTACCTTTATACCGCGATGCACTGCATTGTTTCACTATAAGGTATGTCGATGTTTTCTTATTTTTTCTGGTATTTCTAGCATTTAGACGGTTAATAAGTTGGATAAAACACACCTCGGTTTGCTCCGGTGCTTTGGGCTATTATCTCGCTCGCAGTTTTACATTTTCAAGCAATACCTCGGAGGCGTATTTTATCCTATACTTATGATCCAAGCAACCACGGCAGTGACGTAAGTCACAGATTCCAGTCCTCAGTAGTCGGTTCTATGAACAAAAGGTCCGTAGGACCTTTTCTGACCCGAACGTTAATACCCTATTTAAATAGAAATATGCACGTAAGAAAAACAACATTTGATTACATCGAATGGGTTGCATGTATAATGCGTACATAATCTTCAATAGACGTGAACAAACCTCCGTCTACCGTCGCCACCACAGGAGAAGCAGGGCTGTGGCTGCATCCCTTGTTCATGCACGTGCACCATGCGCACGCCGTCACCCCCGCAGGTGTGGCACCTGACGTTCCCCCACCCGTGGCATCGGTAGCATCGGTTGTACCCCCTGGCGTCACACGCGTGGCACGGCTGAAAATATCATATAATATACTAGTTTTCTGTTTTTGTTTGTTTGTTGTTTAACGCTGCACTCAGCAATATTCCAGCTATATAACGGCAGTCTGTAAATAATCGAGTCTGGACCAGACAATCCAATGATTGACGTGAGCATCGATCTATGCAATTGGGATACGACACCAGATCCCGTTAGTCGCCTCTTACGACAAACATAGTCGCCTTTTATGGCAAGCATGGGTTGCTGAAGACCTATTCTACCCCGGATCCTCACGGGTCTTATATACTAGTAATTGTCAAAAGTGTTTGTCTGCAGCAACATTGGTCTACGTCAAATTCACTTCTCACTAAATGCTGCAAGGTATATTTTTTCCGCGGATGTCACGGCACATCGTTTACTGAACATGCTGGGTGTTGGGAAAATGTGTTGCGGGCACAAAGAAATATGTTTGTTTTGAAGAGGTGACCCAAAATAAATAAACAGACAAACAAATTGTTCACTTAACATGCCAGATGTCCTTAAAAAGTGTGTCGTATAAAAACAAATAAAAATGTTTGCCTTCTCCGATAAAAGTGTCAGTGACCGGTTATAACGAACTCAAAGGGACTACTAATTTTAGTTCGTTATAACCGTGGTTCGTTATAAGCATATATCCAGCTTAACTACAGCAAATAGTCGGGACCAAAAAGTAAGTTCGTTATATCCGTCAGTTCGTTATAAGCGTGTTCGTTTTAACCGTAGTCTACTGTAATATTATGCCTATAACAACAGGTTCCAACAGACAATGGTCGGGTCCTCAACCAAACCCTCTTGTCTTAGTCCCAGCTTTCACACCCAATCCTTCCTGCTGGCCGCCTTACCCTAATAGTCGCTGTATGGGGCACCTCAATAAGCTTCTGTTGGTCAAGGAACAGCGAGTCAGAGTTGCAGGGGATAGCCCAGGGAGGGGGAGGAGGGCCGTTCTCGGGGCCGTCGACAAAGCCTCCCCTAAAGGGCTCCGACATGTACCCCGTGGACCTGAACTCCGTGTACGTCTCCAGTGTGTACTGCAACATACAGACCATTGTATAATATCATGAGTACTATATCTAGCCTACATTTACATGAACTCTGGTTCATTCTATTTGTTTCACCCCGATACGATGTGTCATAGGGTTTGCGTTAGGAGAGCTTTCTAATCAGCGTCGAGGCTTATTAATACTCGGTACAAAGCATTCAGGTTAGCATATCTGATTTCTGTATCTGAACGGGCAGTTCCGAATGGAAATAATAAAGGTTTCGCTATTAATATCATAGATATGTTTATACACCCTGTTGCTTCTGAGCGAGGTCGCATCTTCAGCCAAAAGGGAATATTTTCTATGGAATATATGTTTTCTTTGTGCCTTTTGGTTTTTTTAAGATCGAGTTTTCGAATCGAGGTGAAGAAATGAAGCCAGATCGTTTAAGAATCTGACTGGCTCAAGAACCCATGCATCCTTCATTTAGATTCGATTCAGTGTTTGTTCAGAGTTCATTTGACACGACCTCGTACACGGCATTTGTCACATCTTCACGCAGAGGAAAATCGAATGAACAGATCTGATTTTAATGACATTGACGTATCATTAGAAAGGTCTGCGTCAGGTTCTTCAGTTTTCAGATTCCAACAGTGACGTCAATCCTTGGCTGTTTGTGGTTTCATTGCTAAGGCAACAATTTATATAATAACTGTGTCTGTTAATGTAATATGTTGTTTGTTGTTTATCATCGCACACCGCAATATTCAAGCTATATTATATGACGGCGGTCTCTAAATGATCGAGTCTGGACCAGACAATCCAGTGGCTGAGATCATGAGCATCGATCGCAATGGGGATACGATGACATGCATCAACCAAATCAGCGAGCCAGACCACCCGATACGTTAGACGCCTTTGACGACAATCATGGGTTGCTGAAGACTAATTCTAACCCGGATCTACGGAAGCCTTTTTTCTATTAAGTTGAAATGTCAAGATACTATCTTGAAATTTTAACTTAGTTATTTGAAATTTCAACTTAGCATCTTGACATTTCAAGATAGTATCGAAATTTTTAAAAACAAACAAATGGCCCTAAAAGGCTTCCGTAAGATTTTGAAATTTCAAGATTATTCACTTCAAACGTATTTTTACATCTTAGGATGTTATCTTATTATCTTGAAATTTCAACTTAGTATCTTGAAATTTCAACCTAATATCTTGAAATTTCAACTTAGTTTCTTGAAATTTCATCTTAGGTTCTTGAAATTTCAAGATAGTATCGAAAAAAAGAAAGAAGAAAAAAAGGGCCCTAAAAGGCTTCCGTAGGGATCTTCACGGGTCTGTTAATGTAATAAACATATCTGAGTTCTGGACATTTTCAAGCGCTTCAGCAATACTTGATTGCATTTCCGGGGCATGCTTTATAAAAACAGTAACAGAATGTCATTGAAAAAAGACTATACAAGCAAAAGAGCGACAGGATTTGTTCTTAGGTTGTCATAGAATTGGAACATAATATGAGTGAGTGAGTTGTGTTTAACGCCGCTTTTAACGGTATTAATGTGGGAGGAAAGCCCGAAGTGATGCAGGTCTCGGACGTTTACCACTTCGGTGAAACCCACGAGCACGGGTATGGTGCTGAAAAAAAAAAAACGTAATCGGGGCGAACCGGGATTCGAACCCACAATCACAGGTTTCTGGCGTGCCCAAGGGACGCAGCTCTGCACAGCGAATTACGGCGCCTTAGACGACTGGGCCACCCGTGGCCCCCGGAACATAACATGAACGAAATCAGAAGTACTAATATGAAAGACAACAACTATGCCATGACAGGCACACCACGCTGTGAGACGCTTCAAGACAGTAGCGTCATGTTGAGTTATACGTACATGCAAAGCGTGCCCTGGAGCAATGTTGCTGATTTTCATTTCTTTGGCCGGTGCCGACCCAAAGCAGCAGTTCTCACTGACGTACTGAATCATGGCGTCCCGGCAGGCCTCCTCGTCCATGGACGTCAGGCTACAGGTAGAAGTTTAGCGTTACGTCTTGGAGATCGGCCTTTCAGGGGGCCTCGCATTGTTGTCTGTATGGACTTTTTTTTCAATCACTGCTTCAAGACGTACAACTATGTGTTTAAAACCTAAGGCCAAATATGCTGTTTAGCTCTCTCGAATGTCAAATGGTCCAAGGAATTTTATTACTGCTGCTGAAGTACAGTAAACTACGGTTAGTTCGTTATAAGCATATATACAGCAAATGGCCGGGATAAAAAATATGTTCGTTATATCCGTCAGTTCGTTATAAGCGTGTTCGTTATAAACGTAAACTAGTGTCCAAAAGAAACGATACCAACTTATTTTCAAAATTATTTTTTACTAAGTGAATTGTCAAGTATGAAAACATGCCAATTCGTATTGCACATCCCAAAAACAGCATAGTCGATAAAAAATACCGGGAACACGTGATCACTTCCGGGAAAAAACGTAAATTTCGTGAAAGTGACATTTCCCTCTCTAGCATGTTCTGCACGTGCAGACAAACTGTATAAAACGGCTGATCAGACACGTTGATATCACAGCAACAAAAAGAACACAAGATATGCCACGTTTGACAGCCATCGAGAGAGAGAGAGCCGTTGGAATGGTCCAACAAGGAGCGTCACACGTCGACGTCGCCAGAAGGTTGGGCTGCGCACGCATCACTATCACCAGGTTGATGCAGCGGTTACGTCAGACAGGTCAGACGTCAGACAGGCCCAGGAGTGGAAGACCACGAGTAACCACGCCTCGTGAAGATCGTTACATCCGGGTATTACACCTGAGGAACCGCACCGTAACAGCGACGTCCACGGCGGCTACAGCACTGGGACACAGGATCAGTCGACAGACCGTCTACAGGAGACTACGGCAGTATGGTATCCGGCCACGTCATCCCTACCGCGGACCGCTCCTGACGCATCGACACCGGAACAACAGACTGATCTGGGCCAGGCGAGTTCGACGTTGGCAACGGCGGGACTGGGCACGTGTTATGTTCTCTGATGAGAGCAGATTCCTCATCTTCAGAAACGATGGACGGCAGCTTGTATACCGACGATTTGGTGAACGTTTGGCGCCTAACTGTATCCAACAGGTCCGGCCGTTTGGAGGTGGAGGGTTAATGGTTTGGGGTGGCATATGTGGTGACGTCAAAACGATGCTTGTCGTAATTCGTGGAAACCTGAATGCACAGCGTTATCTTGATGACATCCTACGGCCTGTTGTGGTGCCCTTTATTCAGCAACAGCCTCGTGGACTCCTTTTCGAACATGACAATGCAAGGCCACACACAGCAAGATTGACACAGAACTTCCTTGCCAACGCCAACGTACAGGTTTTGTCATGGCCCGCATGTTCACCGGACATGAATCCCATCGAGCACTTATGGGACCACCTCGATCGGCAAATCCGACGTCGCCGTGTGCCTCCAGTCAACGTCCAGGACTTGGAACGATGTCTCCTCGAGGAATGGCAACGCATCACTCCCAACGTCATCAGACGTTTGACGTCGTCAGTCCGTAGGCGTGTTCTGGCATGTATTGATGCTCACGGTGGACATACCGGCTACTGACTTGACTTTGAGACGTGTGGTGTGACATTTCCCGTTGTTTCTGTGATCAGTGCTCCAACGAAATGTTCATTTTTCGACCCCACCCATCTCTAAAGGCTTGTCATATTGTCATATTTTTGTACAGATGTTGTGAAAAGATTTCTCAAAAGCACAACACCAATCCTAAACTTCTGCATTGTTTAGTTTTTCTTTTATGTCGTTGCAAACAGATGGTATCGTTTCTTTTGGACACTAGTTTTAGTTTACTGAAAAAAATATTGTAAGAAGGCCTATTTTCATTTGTTTGTTCTAAATTTATTTAGAGCACAAGTTATCACAATATTGGTAACGCATAAACAAATATATTAATTTCAGAAAGTCAAAAATATTCATAATTAATCATTTCATCGTTTTGTAATTTTTTAAGGGAATATCTAAAATAATGTCGATAAATATCCAATTTACATTCCAGATGTCTGGAAGTCTCTTCATACTTACTTGCCAAAATCCATCTGAGGTGGTTCTGGCGGGGGTGGAGGAGGGGGCGGCGGGGGGAGAGGAGCCACTGTAAGAAATACAATTTGTACATTGTACAAGTCCCAATACACACAAAAAAGTACTTTCCGCGAAGCGTATATATGAAGCAATGTAACTTGTATGTACTTTGTAACACGACATATTTGTTTATAAATGCAAATACATTTTTGACTAACGAAAAAAAGAAAGAAAATAACACACTAGCCAAAAGGAATTACAGTCCATCTGTCCGGAGTTAACGTGAGTGAGTGAGTTGGGTTTAACGCCGCTTTTAACAGTATTCCAGTAATATCACGGCGTGTCAGCTTAATGTGGAAGGAAAGCCCGAAGTGATGCAGGTCTCAGACGTTTACCACTTCGGTGAAACTCACGAGCACGGGTATGGTGCTTACAAACCTAGAAACATAATCGGGGCGAACCGGGATTCCAACCCACAATCATAGGTTTCTGGCGCGCCCAAGCGACGCAACTCTGCACGGCGAATCGCGGCGCCTTAGACGACTGGGCCACCTGTGCCCCCTCAGGCACTGGTGAAAGTGGCCAAAACGGTGTACTAAGAATGGGACCTAAATGATAGATTTTTCACTCTTGACAAGCCCAGGCAATCAAGAATGTCTTTATGAAGGGTTAGTTGGAGTTAATGCTTCAGGCGGACAAGCAGGAAAAGAACTTAACACAAACCCGCTAACCCGGGGCTAGTACAAATGCCTGCAGACCAGTACAAATTTCCCAATTTCACCATTGTTTTATCATTAAAAGGGCATTTTATCTTCAACGTGGCTAGTAAAGCTTTTGAGTTAAGTTTCAACCATGACAAGCATGTGAGAATGATTATTATTTACATATTTCTTAAAATTCCAAAATAGCTACAAGTTTTATAACACTAGTTCATGGACAAAGAAGACATTTATTATAATTGCCTCTGTCGGAATATTTTATTGACAACGATAACAGTGACAAAGATTGAGAAATGGAATTGATTTCAACAACTGCGTGATTTTAGTACATTCGCACTCTTGTCATAGACTCGATGACGTCGCAAACATAATCAGATTCCTGCGCTAGGTAGAACTCACTTTGGTTAAAGCCCCCGACGCCCTCATAACCCTGGAACGTAGGCATCCCCTGCATGGGGGGCGGTCCGAATGAGGGGGGAGCGGCTGCCTCGTTGTCCACGGGTACCTGGTTCCCCTGTCTCCAGTCGGGGGGAGGGGGACCGTCCATCCATACGCTCCACTCTGTCAACACAAACACAGCACAACTGGCCATAGGAGCAACACACTTAGACCTACTTTGCAAAACATACTTTTTGGCTTCCAAATATAAATACAATTTTCCAATGCAGAGATATTCCTGTTGCCATTCAATCATAGAAAAATTAGTCCGGATTAATTCTTCAAAATGATAAAAGAAAATCACACTGTTCGGTCACATACAGAATTTAACTATTTCACTTTGTTTCACGACCATTGAAAAATCAATCCTAAAATAATATATCAAAATAATATATATTATAAAATTAATTTCAATTATTTCAATTATTATTCAAGTTAACTATCACGAGGAAAAATGTTTCGTATAAAAAATCCACATAATCGAATCCGTAATTACATTAGGTAAAATACATTTGATATTATTCTTTTAAAGAACTTTCTGGGACAATTAATGTTTTCGCTTAAATCCTAGCACACCCCCCCCCCCCCCCCCCCAGAATATCAAATATTATTCGATATGATGACCAAAATTCAGATGACAATGTCAAAAAATTCTTTTTAAAGATGTACATACTTATTTCTGTCGTCTAAAAGATTCTTCATGATTTTGTCTCCATTAAGGTATGTTGTAAATAACACTGTTGATTACATGTATTGATCAGATTGAACATTTGTAGGCCAAGGATAGGATCAAGTAAACTGTTCACTGTTCCCCTGAACTGCCAAACCTAAACATGAGCATTTTCCAGATATGTACTCACCTAGTCACTTGGTTACGTGCACGAGTCATGTCTACTTTAGGAATAGAATCAGTATTGATAGCTTGTGATTCACTTACGTTCTGGAGGCGCACCCGGCATTCCTGGTTGTCCATAGTCTGTAAATAAACATATCGATCACCAAACAAACAAACTTCTAGATTATATAAATGGGCGTGAGTGAGTTCGCTTTAAGCAGTATTTGAGTATTATCACGTATCAGCTTAATGTGGGACGAAAACCCGAAGTGTTTTCTTTGTTTGTTTGTTTGTTTGTTTAATTGCCACACTCAACAACATTCTAGCTATGTGATGGCGGTCTGTACATAATCGAATCTGGACCAGACATTCCAGTGGTTGATATCATGAGCATCGATCCATCCAGTTGGGATACGATCATTTAGTTACCTCTTTCGACAAGCTTAGGTTGCTGGAGACATATATGCTTAGACGATTGTCCCACGAGTCAAAGCACAAATTGACGCAGGCCTTATATTAGGCAAGTAGTATTCGACAACGAGAACCTTATGTAGTGTCAGACGTTCACCACGTTGGTGATACCAGCAAGCAGGGGTATGGTGCTGCCAAACCAAGAGTCAAGATCGAGGCGAACTCACGAGTATAAGAATCTGGCCTGTGCCCCTACAAGAGTTGGGTTTAACGCTGCTGTAATAAACATATCTGAGTTCTGGACATTTTCAAGCGCTTCAGCAATACTTGATTGCATTTCCGGGGCATGCTTTATAAAAACAGTAACAGAATGTCATTGAAAAAAGACTATACAAGCAAAAGAGCGATAGGATTTGTTCTTAGGTTGTCATAGAATTGGAACATAATATGAGTGAGTGAGTTGTGTTTAACGCCGCTTTTTAACGGTATTAATGTGGGAGGAAAGCCCGAAGTGATGCAGGTCTCGGACGTTTACCACTTCGGTGAAACCCACGAGCACGGGTATGGTGCTGAAAAAAAAAAAACGTAATCGGGGCGAACCGGGATTCGAACCCACAATCACAGGTTTCTGGCGTGCCCAAGGGACGCAGCTCTGCACAGCGAATTGCGGCACCTAAGACGACTTGGCCACCCGTGCCCCCTCATTTTGCTGGATCCTAGCATATAACAATGAAACACATACATGCATGCATCCATCCATCCGGTCAGAAATGATAATGTCGAACAATACTGTCGAATCGTTTTTCTCACCATGACGTCTTTTGACCGCTATTGTACTAATTGTAAGATCCTAAAGGCTCTCTCTTAATTTTTGTCGTAAACTTATTATTTGTTTGTTGTTTAACACCGCACTCAGCAATATTCAAGCTATATGAGGTCTGTAAATAATCGAGTCTGGACCAGACAATCCGGTGATTGACATCATGGGCATCAATCCACGCAATTGAGATACGATGACATGCATCAACCAAGTCAGCGAACCTGACCACCCGATCCCGTTAGTCGCCTCTTACGACAAGCATGCATAGTCGCTAAGATCGCTTTGTGCAAGTGGGCCCTGTTCTACCCCGGATCTTCACGGATATTCGTGTGTTGTCATGCATGTATGAAACGGCCTATAACCTGAGGTAATTACCTAACACCTGTCCCGAGGTGATGACCTCACACCGTCCAGTGCATTCTCACATGTGCAAATGTCACCAGAGTTGGGGGTCTCAAAATATTACACTTCGCCAAGATGGGCACAGCAGGGTTGAGCTCACAATGTCTGACTTGCGTACGTAAGACAACGTAACCGTGTTGTGCCGCCAGCACATATGTCTTGTACTTTACTGGTTTCTTATTCAGACGATTTTTCTCCATGAGTTGAACTTTCGTTTCAGATTGTCTGAAGTCGACCAATGTCATATATTCCTGTATGTTCGCCTTCAGACTACTCATGGTTTGGGCGACAGTATCTGATTCCCGGACGTTATATTAACTGGCGTTATCCATGACAATCACACTGACATTGTTTTAAATTGGCAATAGCTGAAGTTCCAACCACTCTATGAACACATCACCTCCTATAATTTCCATATGAAAATCACCAGTTTTCTGTTTCGCCTCGAAAACTAGTACACATCCATCAATAAGCCCCATATCATTGGTTGCAGCGTGCAAAACAATGACACGATTACCTTTACCTGATTGTCTGTGGGTGCTTTTTGTTGATCTGCCGATAGCCACATGTAGCCACTGCAAAAAAAATCCATCTATACAAGTTTGTATATGCTTTGGAATGATGATATTTCCAAAGCATATACAAGATTGGAATGATGATATATACAAAAATATACAAGTTTGTATATACGACATTTACAAAAATATACAAATTTGTATATATGGTGTATCCAAATTTGTTTTCTTTGTATATATTGGCAAAGGGAGATAATTGTTATGTATTTGTGTATAATTATTAAATATGTACAAATTGAAGTGTTTTAAGTTGAGCACTGTGTTTCTTTGTATATGTTGGTAAAGGAGGATAATTGCTATGTATTGTTCTATAATTGTTTTGTATGTGCAAAATAGTATCATCAAGTTACAAAAATATAGTGGCGTGTTACATTACTGGAATGTTTAATTAGTACTCCACACTGTTGGCGGGAGTACATACTCTCCTTGCAATGATATTGACGGGTAAGCGATTGAGGCGTCTGGTACTTTTCCTGGCGCGGTGGTTGGTATGTGAGTAGACTTTATGGTCAAATGCACAGAGAGGATAAGCTGTCGGGGGTGATTGCATTGGCGGTGACTTCTGTATTGAAAGTGTTGAAATCGATTTGTGCTGAGCTTGGATTCGTTTGTACGGGGAGGCCGCGATGTGATTTGTAACATGCTCTCGTGCACATGGCAGATTAGCCAACAGAGTGGAATGCACAGAGGATGAAAACTATTTTATTATTAATTTAAAGTGTTGAATTTGGTTTGTTCTGAGCTGTCGGTTTAATTGTAGGGTATACATTATGATAATGTCAAATCTCGGCGGAACGCGGAAAATCGCGTTTTTTAACGGTAGTCCTTGGAAACATCCTCTTCAAAATATAATCAAAGATTTTTTTTAAAATGCTTCGAAAATATCGTGTTGCCAGACAACCGTGGCGGATTGTCCTGTTTTCGATCAGAGCTTTCAGCATCAAACATGCTTTTATTATTATTCATAACACAATCATGGGATCTTAAGTTTCCGGACATCATACGTTTTCTATCATGAATACTTGCACTATAACGGCGGGGGGGGGGGGGGGGGGGGTCACACAGAAATTGTTTATACTCCGATAATGACTTTTTTATGATAAAGTTGTCAGCGTCCGAAAACCCATAACACGGGGATATATGTTGTATTAATGTCTTATGTTTTACAAAAGATAAGTAAGTACAAAGGTAAGCTTTTCTCAATATGCTTCAACGTGGGAAAAGGGGCATTGCACGTTTGTGGCAGTATTGCTCCCAGTCCCAGGTGGCGGCGGCGTCCACTAATGCCTACAGTCTACAATAAACAAAGTCATGCACCAGTGATTTTCAGCGACACCTGCTATCAGTGCTACCCAACCTCTAACTGGACAAGTCCACTTTAGTGGAATAATGCCTATAGGCGACAAAAGACAGAAAATTATATGAAGTCACTTTTTATTTCACATTGCCATAACACTAACAGTAATAATTTATTTCTGCATCATTGCATTAGTTCTTATAGTATACACCAGCAGATATTTGCTCATTTCAAGAAATTTCAAAGAGTTCATGTAGTCAGTGGAATGATTCATCAAGGTAAACTTTCTGGACGCCCTGACTGATAGTTATAAATGGTTCGGAGATAATGTGACCCCATAGACAGGATGGAATATTTTCCCCGGACAACTGCTCGGTCATCGCCACGCGCAGTGTATCGAAATCCCATCTCTTGGAGAGCAATAGTTTGTGCAGTCCAGGAAACATTAATTGTATCTTTAATTTTCCTCTACTACAAGTCAGGGTTACCTTCTGCTCATAAAGCTTGTACACTATACGCCTAATCACCCTGCATGAAAGCTAATATCCTTTTACGTCCGGTTTTGTTTTTGATACCACCCCTTTAACTTTTATGTTTTATTTATCATCTCGGAGACTTGATGGTATGAATTGAAAACCCCATAGCTTGGGCAGTTCGGTAATCCACCCTATCTAAATAAATAAATGGTTCCCTCTATCTCTCTAAAGTGTAAAGAACTTGTATACATTTCCTAGTACAGACTCCATGTCGTGTACCCTGGCTATGGCTATGCAAGTGTTATGTAACATGCATCATGGGAGCAGTGTTGACAAAACAAACGCAGCGCCATTTTGTCATTTTAGAAGATGCACATCTAGAATTTTCTCCAAATGATTTTTGTGTGTGGATTAGATGTTTTATGAAGACTACATTGTTATCATTATAACGGAGTCACGTGCGTATGTTTATATAGTCCGTTTCAGATTACCATCATTGGACTTGGAATAAATGTGAACTTCCTGTTTACGTTCGAGTTTGTCTCCTGTGAAATTGTCGATAGGACTCCTTGTGACTGAAATACTTCAAACCACTGGAAGGTCGATCGGTAGTTACTCGATATTTCAAAAACAACAATCTGAAAAATTATATCCTGAAAAATTATATCATTTTTCTACCATTTACGACAGTACCTTAGCTAAGATTTTACGCCAATATTAGCGCCAAGACAGTTTCGTGAATAAGCCGCCGTTCCACAAGGCGATCGTAGCGCTACAACTGTCGTAGGTCTATGTTAAAGTATGGGAGTTACGATCGTCTTAGTGCTACAACTGTCGTAGGTTTGTGTTAAAGTATGGGAGTTACGATCGTCTTAGTGCTACAACTGTCGTAGGTTTGTGTTAAAGTATGGGAGTTACGATCGTCTTAGTGCTACAACTGTCGTAGGTTTGTGTTAAAGTATGGGAGTTACGATCGTCTTCGTGCTACAATTGTCGTAGGTCTATGTTAAAGTATGGGAGTTACGATCGTCTTAGTGCTACAACTGTCGTAGGTTTGTTTTAAAGTATGGGAGTTACGATCGTCTTAGTGCTACAACTGTCGTAGGTTTGTGTTAAAGTATGGGAGTTACGATCGTCTTAGTGCTACAACTGTCGTAGGTTTGTGTTAAAGTATGGGAGTTACGATCGTCTTAGTGCTACAGCTGTCGTAGGTCTATGTTAAGGATGGGAGTTACGATCGTCTTAGTGCTACAACTGTCGTAGGTTTGTGTTAAAGTATGGGAGTTACGATCGTCTTAGTGCTACAACTGTCGTAGGTCTGTGTTAAAGTATGGGAGTTACGATCGTCTTAGTGCTACAACTGTCGTAGGTCTGTGTTAAAGTATGGGAGTTACGATCGTCTTGGTGCTACAACTGTCGTAGGTCTATGTTAAAGTATGGAAGTTACGATCGTCTTAGCGCTACAACTGTCGTAGGTCTGTGTTAAAGTATTGGAGTTACGATCGTCTTAGTGCTACAACTGTCGTAGGTCTATGTAAAAATATTGGAGTTACAATCGTCTTAGCGCTACGACTGTCGTAGGTCTATGTTAAAGTATGGGGGTTACGATCGTCTTAGCGCTACGGTTGCTTTGTGGAACCGAACTATTCCAAAAGAAATTATCGATCATGAAACCATAAAGGATGAAAGTATTTCCCAAATCGTAAGAAATGATAACATTGTTCTACATTAAAGAGGAAGAAATGAATGGCCCTATCTAACGTGTAAATTAGGCCTTAGCTTCCGGCATTCACCTGGATGTGAAAGTGTAATTTGACTTGTGTTGCACCGTTATCATGGAGTAGTAGCCTTATCAAATGTAATTGGGCGGTCGGGTAGCCTAGTGGTTAAAGCGTTCGCCCGTCACGCTGAAGACCCGGGTTCGATTCCCGACATGGGTACAATGTGTGAAGCCCGTTTCTGGTGTCCCCAGCCGTGATATTGCTGGAATATTGCTAAAAGCTGCGTAAAACCAAACTCACTCACTCAAATGTAATGAATTACTTATAAACAGCACATTATTGTTTGACGTCATGACTTGTTTTATGTCTTTGGCGACGTTGGAGAAATTCGACATTGGTATATTGATTTATAGATATTCTTCAATAGTATGAAATATCTCGATTTGTGAAACATAATTTGACGCTTTTTCAACACAAAATAAAATTGATGTTTCACCATTTAAATACGTCTTCCCGAGGCGAGGGAGTTATCTGACTATAAAAGTCATGTTTCCGGATTTTACAGTCATTTAACTCCCTTGACTAAGGAAGATGTGTAAATTATGTCTTCAGTAGATAAACAGTTAGACAGTTTGACCGTGGATGTTAATTGGACAAGACGCGCACCCACTAGGCATCAATTTTAATTGAAACAAATACTCAGAAGACTATTTCAAAACAAACAAATATCTTTTTTAATATTGGACACGATATCCTGACCACCCAATCTCCACTCTAGTCAGCTCTTACCACGTCTATGCTAAACCCCTATGCTAAATACCAGGCCTTTCGCATTTGAACTGAAATTAGAGGTACCTAAAATTCTGCCATTAAATTACTTGATTGTGATTGGTCAATCAGAGGCTATTAAACCACAATAACCCCCCTCTGATTGAAACAGTTGGTTTGACGGCCGCATCACCGCGAAGCTAATATTCATAGAATAGTACTTTTTCAGTCATTGTCGGTAGGCATATTTAAATAATTATATCTACAATTGCAGGTTAAAAATGCACAGATACGGTTACTACAATATTCAAAGGATGTGTGACAATACATTTCGTGCTGTACACACGATATAAATCGAGAATGTATTTACGTTTTGGAGACAAGCGAGAGCTTGGAATGTTGGCGCTTTTCTATATACGACTGTGGCGTCATATCGTTTGCATCACAATGATCGATATGACGTCATAATGGTGACGTGTGGTGTAGCACGAAAGCCTTGCAAAGCTTGTTTAGTTTTCTTTAGGGGTGCCCACCTCATGTTAGCTTTCCAAGTTGCCGTGCTTATATATATGCTGCCAATGCCTGTCATATTTATTATGTTCGAGTGAAGTATTTCGGAGTAAACAAACTGCCTGAGAATATACAGCGCCATATTTTGTTTAATGGATGTTGTCGGTGAATCCGTTATTCAGATCGACAACCCCCTCTAAACATTGGACTCAACCTATGCCGTTTCACTCAAAATATTTGCTAGCACCAAAGATTTCGCGTTTTATTTAATCATGGTAGAATGGAGATAAACAATTATCTCCTAAATATCAATGGCCTACCATAACAAGAAACAGTTCACGGGCATCGCATAAATGACATCGCAATCTGTGACGTCATGAATTCCACCATGACGTCATTTCTGCGACATCAAAGATTCATTCGTCACCACTCGTCCCTTTCCGTAATCCGCTATTCGGCTTGTCCCGGAATAACACGAGTTGGTCACGAATGATCAAAGATTATGATGCAATTATAAGGCGTCTATGAGACCAGCGCTAAAACCAAAGTAGCATGCACATACACACAGCATGGGCACCCACACCCACACAACTGTGTTTGTACAACTATATCACAACTTCAGTAAACTACGTTTATAACGAACACTCTTATAACGAACTGACGGATATAACGAACCTACTCCCGACCATTTGTTGTATAAATGCTGTATGTATGCTTATAACGAACTACGGTTATTACGAACTCAAATTAGTGGCCCCCTCGAGTTCGTTATAACCGTAGTCAACTGTATACACAATTTTCGTCACAAGCGACACATTTGCAATGAAAGATTTTGTTAAACCATATACAATATCTGATTAAATGATAACGGAGTCGCACGTGTAGGCCAACTGCAGAGTAATTTATGGAAGTAACTTGAATAAGTACCTCTTGAATAACGCCACAGGTAGGCCAGTTCTAGGGTTATGCACGTTACGTTACCCCTCTTTGTGTACGGTAGACTGACATTTAGTCTCAGGAATAAAGTGATCTATTTAAAACTATATTTCTACAAAACAGATCCAAACTGAGCTCAGAATAATCCTTAATTTCAGGGAAGAAATGAGACAATCTAGACTTGCAAAATCATTCTAGACGTGAGTCCTTTTTTACTATATGCTCTGGGGACTGGAGACAGGCTATGTGTTTGGCTTCCATAAGCGTCAAGTGGAGCGTGATCCAACTTAACAACTTGGGGAAGTCACAATAACACTCGCCGAGTCTTGTGACACAACTTTTGAGAAACACTAAAAATAGCACAGACACAAGCACCTGTGATAATAGCATGATTACCCCCTCTCTCCTATACTAATAACATACCCCCTATATCCTATGATAATATACCTCCTCTATCCTGTGATAATAACATATCTCCTCTCTCCTATGATAATAACATGCCCCCTCTCTTCTATAAAATAACATACCCCCTCTCTTCTATGATAGTAACATACCCTTTCTCTTCTATGATAATAACATACCTCCTCTATCCTATAATAATAACATGCCCCCTCTCTCCTATGATAATAACATACCCCCTCTCTTCTATGATAGTAACATACCCCTTCTCTCCTATGATAATAATATACCCCTCGCCCTATGACAATTACATACCTCTCGCCCAATGATAATAACACACCCCTCGCCCTATAACAATAACATACCCCTCGCCCTATGATAATAACATACCCGTCGCCCTGTGATAATAAAATACCCTCTCTCCTATGACAAAAACATACCCCTCGCCCTATGACAATAACATACCCCTCGCCCTGTGACAATAACATACCCCCTCTATCCTATGATAATAACATACCCCCTCTACCCTATGATAATAACATACCCCCTCTATCCTATAATAATAACATACCCCTTCACCTATGATAACATACCCCCTCTATCCTGTGATAATAACATATCTCCTCTCTCCTATGATAATAACATACCCCCTCTCTTCTATAATAATAACATACCCCCTCTCTTCTATGATAATAACATACCCTTTCTCTTCTATGATAATAACATACCTCCTCTATCCTATAATAATAACATGCCCCTCATTCCTATGATAATAACAGACCTCCTCTAACCTATGATAATAACATGCCCCTTCTCTCCTATGATAATAATATACCCCTCGCCCTATGACAATTACATACCTCTCGCCCTATGATAATAACATACCCCTCGCCCTATAACAATATCATACCCCTCGCCCTATGATAATAACATACTCGTCGCCCTGTGATAATGAAATACCCTCTCTCCTATGACAATAACATACCCCTCGCCCTATGACAATTACATACCCCTCGCCCTGTGATAATAACATACCCCTCTCCTATGACAATAACATACCCCCTCTCTCCAATGATAATAACATACCCCTCGCCCTATGACAATAACATACCCCTCGCCCATTGATAATAACATACCCCTCGCCCTATGACAATAACATACCCCTCGCCCTGTGATAATAACATACCCCCTTTCAACTACGACCACTACATTCTCTCTCTCGCCCGTGACATGGCCCTCAGCTGCACAGCTAATCAATACTGTTCTCAATTTCGCGTTTATAAATAATGTAAAACAGTTCTTGGGTCTGCCACATCAACAATACGAACATCAACGTCTTACTTGATTTCGCACGGACGACACACTGTGGCAGCACACACACATTCTGTCTATGTAAGTGTACTTATTTATGTGTGGTTACTTCAAGGCTAAGATAACCAGCTTCATCAATACCCTAAAGCATGTATGAAATACGCAAGTGCGATGCGAGGCGGGCGAGATTTCGCATTAGACACAGCTGGAGACATCAGTCCTGATTTCAACCAGAATATAAACGTGATATTGAAGAAATTGAGTTACACATAAATATTGTTAGATACTCACTGACCGCCATGGTGGATACAACTGCTGATCAACCTGTTTCTATTTACAAGAGAGCTTCGTTATTCGTTACCCGTGGTAACCCGAACAGCTTAGCTTATATCCGCCACCTGCACACGATCGGTGTTTCGTAATCCGATATCGCCGTTGTTCGTTGGGAGTGGCGGTTCCTTGTCAACGCGCCCGGGGTGCACGGCCGCATGTGCACACGTATAACCATGGATGCGTATAAACAATGACACTTATCATCACAGCCTGGACTTAAGAAATGTTAACAATGACTCACAAATATTTCGTTGATTAATAAACGGAATCCATCAACATGAGTGAGTGAGTGAAAATGATTTTACGCCGCTTTTAGCAATATTCCAGCAATATCACGGCGGGGGACACCAGAAATGGGCTTCACACATTGTACCCATGTCGGGAATCGAACCCAGGTCTTCGGCGTGACAAGCGAACGCTTTAACCACAAGGCTACCCGACCGCCCCTCCATCAACATGAAGTGGTCCGTCGATACTTATGTTCGGAATTGCTTAATAAACACTGGAAATCTGCAATGTGGCTTTACGTAAAGCGATTTTGTAATCTGCGTTCCCGCTATTAAAACGTCGTCATCTCAAGATACGGAAACGATCTCTTAATACGGAGCGTTGGGGTAGCATAGTGGTTAATGCGTTCACTCTTAACGTCGAAAGCCCGGGTTCGATTCCCCATATCCGTAAAATGTATGAAGCCTATTTCTGGTGTCCCCCGCCGTGATGTTGCCGGGATATTGCCCAAACCGACATAAAATCAAACTCACACACTCACTTCATATCCAGTGTCAAAGGTGTCTGCACCTACAACCACTCTACAATACGTCCCCACCTGTGCTTTAGCTGAAAACACTTTGCCATATGACTCCCGTAACATATAACTGTGCTAGCTATATATGACCCCGTAACCTATATAGTTGTGCTAGCCACGACCTCCGTAACCTATATAGTTATGCTAGCCACGACCTCCGTAAACTACATTACAATGATAGCTACGACCTCCGTAACATACATAACTATTATAGCCACGACCTCCGTAACATACATTACTATGATAGCCACGACCTCCGTAACAGACATAACTATGATAGCCACGACCTCTGTAACATATAGAACTATGATAGCCACGACCTCCGTAACATATATAACTATGATAGCCACGACCTCCGTAACAGACATAACTATGATAGCCACGACCTCCGTAACATACATAACTATGATAGCCACGACCTCCGTAACAGACATAACTATGATAGCCACGACCTCCGTAACAGACATTACTATGATAGCCACGACCTCCGTAACATATAGAACTATGATAGCCACGACCTCCGTAACAGACATAACTATGATAGCCACGACCTCCGTAACATACATAACTATGATAGCCACGACCTCCGTAACAGACATAACTATGATAGCCACGACCTCCGTAACAGACATTACTATGATAGCCACGACCTCCGTAACATATAGAACTATGATAGCCACGACCTCCGTAACAGACATAACTATTATAGCCACGACCTCTGTAACATATAGAACTATGATAGCCACGACCTCCGTAACATATAGAACTATGATAGCCACGACCTCCGTAACAGACATAATTATGATAGCCACGACCTCCGTAACATACATAACTATGATAGCCACGACCTCCGTAACAGACATAACTATGATAGCCACGACCTCCGTAACAGACATAACTATTATAACCATGACCTCCGTAACATACATTACTATGATAGCCACGACCTCCGTAACAGACATAACTATGATAGCCACGACCTCTGTAACATATAGAACTATGATAGCCACGACCTCCGTAACATATAGAACTATGATAGCCACGACCTCCGTAACAGACATAACTATGATAGCCACGACCTCCGTAACATACATTACTATGATAGCCACCACCTCCGTAACAGACATAACTATGATAGCCACGACCTCCGTAACATACATAACTATGATAGCCACCACCTCCGTAACAGACATAACTATGATAGCCACGACCTCCGTAACATACATAACTATGATAGCCACGACCTCCGTAACATACATAACTATGATAGCCACGACCTCCGTAACATACATAACTATGATAGCCACGACCTCCGTAACAGACATAACTATGATAGCCACGACCTCCGTGACATACATAACTATGATTGCCACGACCTCCGTGACATACATAACTATGATAGCCACGACCTCCGTAACATATATAACTATGATAGCCACGACCTCCGTAACAGACATAACTATGATAGCCACGACCTCCGTAACATACATAACTATGATAGCCACGACCTCCGTAACAGACATAACTATGATAGCCACGACCTCCGTAACAGACATTACTATGATAGCCACGACCTCCGTAACATATAGAACTATGATAGCCACGACCTCCGTAACAGACATAACTATTATAGCCACGACCTCCGTAACATACATTGTCCGAAGCATTGTCACGTTGGGGTGAACATGTTTGAGGAAGAATTATGTTTGCAGACACGGAAGAAATTCAAGAAATAAGCAGAATTTCTGCAATCAAAAAGTAGAATATTAAGAGATCAACATTCTTTCGATAACAATTAAACATTTGCCGACTGGCGACTTTTATTTTTGTTTTGTTTAGTGGTTAAAGCGTTCGCTCGTCACGCCGAAGACCCGGGTTCGATTCCCGACATGGGTACAATGTGTGAAGCCCATTTCTGATTTCCCCGGCCGTGATATTGCTGGAATATTGCTAAAAGCGGCGTAAAACCTCACTCACTCACTCACTCACGTAGCATTACAATCGCTTTGTGATATGGTTGTCAGGATTACTTGTTGTTGTTTGTTGTTTAACGCCGCACTCAGCAATATTCTGACTACATGGCGGCGGTCTGTAAATATTTAAGTCTGGACCAAGCAGTCTAGTGATTGACATCATGAGCATTGATCTACGCAGTTGGGATAAGATGACATGCATCAACCAAGTCAGCGAGTCTGACTACCCGATCCCGTTAGTTGCCTCTTACGACAAGCATAGTCTCCTTTTACGGCAAGCATAGTCGCCTTTTACGGCAAGCATAGTCGCCTTTTACGGCAAGCAGTCGCCTTTTACGGCAAGCAGCCTTTTACGACAAGCATAGTCGCCATTTACGACAAGCAGTCGCCTTTTACGACAAGCATAGTCGCCTCTAACGGCGCCTTCGGTTCCAAATCTACAGTTTATTTCCTAATGTAAACCTTGTTCAACGAGCAGAAGCAACTGTCACTGTCCCCACAACGGCTGAAGTTGGTTTTCTCTGTCTCACAGTATGGCTGTTCCGAACTCCTATCTCCTGTTTGTTTGTTTGTTGTTAAACGTCGCACTCAGCAATATTCCAGCTATATGGCGGCGGTCTGTAAATAATCGAGTCTGGACCAGACAATCCAGTGATTGATATCACGAGCATCGATCCATGCAATTTTACCCCGGATCTTCACGGGTCTCCGGTCTCCTGTAACTCGTTTCGACTTTGATAATGTCAAGTCACGTAAACTAAACTAAAAACTTCATCGTAAAGAGTTCTCTGTGTAAACTCTGCATGACGCCTGTGTGTTGTGTCACAAGAGAGTGTGTGTGTGTATCACAATATTGTGTGCCTGTTTGTGTGTTGTGTCACAAGAGAGTGTGTGTGTTGTGTGTGTGGTGTGTGTGTGTGTGTGTGTATCACAATATTGTGTGCCTGTTTGTGTGTTGTTTCACAAAGAGTCTGTGTGTGTGTGTGTGTGTGTGTGTGTGTGTTGTGTGTATCACAATATTGTGTCTGTTTGTGTGTTGTTTCACAAAGAGTCTCTGGGGCGGTCGGGTAGCCTAGTGGTTAAAGCGTTCGCTCGTCACGCCGAAGACACGGGTTCGATTCCCGACATGGGTACATTGTGTGAAGCCCATTTCTGGTGTCCCCCGCCGTGATATTCCTGGAATATTGCTAAAAGCGGCGTAAAGCCATACTCACTCACTCACTCACTCACTCACAAAGAGTCTCTGTGTGTGTGTGTTGTGTTGTTTCACAAAGAGTCTGTGTGTGTGTGTTTTGTGTGTATCACAATATTGTGTGTCTGTTTGTGTGTTGTTTCACAAGAGTCTCTGTGTGTGTGTTGTGTGTATCACAATATTGTGTGCCTGTTTGTGTGTTGTTTCACAAAGAGTCTGTGTGTGTGTGTGTATCACAATATTGTGTGCCTGTTTGTGTGTTGTTTCACAAAGAGTCTGTGTGTGTGTGTTGTGTGTATCACAATATTGTGTGCCTGTTTGTGTGTTGTTTCACAAAGAGTCTGTGTGTGTGTGTTGTGTGTATCACAATATTGTGTGCCTGTTTGTGTGTTGTTTCACAAAGAGTCTGTGTGTGTGTGTATCACAATATTGTGTGCCTGTTTGTGTGTTGTTTCACAAAGAGTCTGTGTGTGTGTGTGTTGTGTGTATCACAATATTGTGTGTCTGTTTGTGTGTTGTTACACAAGAGTCTCTGTGTGTGTGTTGTGTGTATCACAATAGTGTGTCTGTTTGTGTGTTGTTTCACAAAGAGTCTGTGTGTGTGTGTTGTGTGTATCATAATATTGTGTGCCTGTTTGTGTGTTGTTTCACAAAGAGTCTGTGTGTGTGTTGTGTGTATCACAATATTGTGTGCCTGTTTGTGTGGTGTTTCACAAAGAGTCTCTGTGTGTGTGTGTTGTGTTGTTTCACAAAGAGTCTGTGTGTGTGTGTTGTGTGTATCACAATATTGTGTGCCTGTGTGTGTGTTGTTTCACAAAGAGTCTGTGTGTGTGTGTGTGTTGTGTGTATCACAATATTGTGTGCCTGTTTGTGTGTTGTTTCACAAAGAGTCTGTGTGTGTGTGTGTGTGTTGTGTGTATCACAATATTGTGTGCCTGTTTGTGTGTTGTTTCACAAAGAGTCTGTGTGTGTGTGTGTATCACAATATTGTGTGCCTGTTTGTGTGTTGTTTCACAAAGAGTCTGTGTGTGTGTGTGTATCACAATATTGTGTGCCTGTTTGTGTGTTGTTTCACAAAGAGTCTGTGTGTGTGTGTGTTGTGTGTATCACAATATTGTGTGCCTGTTTGTGTGTTGTTTCACAAAGAGTCTGTGTGTGTGTGTGTATCACAATATTGTGTGCCTGTTTGTGTGTTGTTTCACAAAGAGTCTGTGTGTGTGTTGTGTTGTGTGTATCACAATATTGTGTGTCTGTTTGTGTGTTGTTTCACAAGAGTCTCTGTGTGTGTGTTGTGTGTATCACAATATTGTGTGCCTGTTTGTGTGTTGTTTCACAAAGAGTCTGTGTGTGTGTGTGTTGTGTGTATCACAATATTGTGTGCCTGTTTGTGTGTTGTTTCACAAAGAGTCTGTGTGTGTGTGTTGTGTGTATCACAATATTGTGTGCCTGTTTGTGTGTTGTTTCACAAAGAGTCTGTGTGTGTGTTGTGTGTATCACAATATTGTGTGCCTGTTTGTGTGTTGTTTCACAAAGAGTCTGTGTGTGTGTGTGTATCACAATATTGTGTGCCTGTTTGTGTGTTGTTTCACAAAGAGTCTGTGTGTGTGTGTTGTGTGTATCACAATATTGTGTGCCTGTTTGTGTGTTGTTTCACAAAGAGTCTGTGTGTGTGTGTGTATCACAATATTGTGTGTCTGTTTGTGTGTTGTTTCACAAAGAGTCTGTGTGTGTGTGTGTTGTGTGTATCACAATATTGTGTGTCTGTTTGTGTGTTGTTTCACAAAGAGTATGTGTGTGTGTGTTGTGTGTATCACAATATTGTGTGCCTGTTTGTGTGTTGTTTCACAAGAGTCTCTGTGTGTGTGTTGTGTGTATCACAATAGTGTGTCTGTTTGTGTGTTGTTTCACAAAGAGTCTGTGTGTGTGTGTGTTGTGTGTATCACAATATTGTGTGCCTGTTTGTGTGTTGTTTCACAAAGAGTCTGTGTGTGTGTGTATCACAATATTGTGTGCCTGTTTGTGTGTTGTTTCACAAAGAGTCTGTGTGTGTGTGTGTTGTGTGTATCACAATATTGTGTGTCTGTTTGTGTGTTGTTACACAAGAGTCTCTGTGTGTGTGTTGTGTGTATCACAATAGTGTGTCTGTTTGTGTGTTGTTTCACAAAGAGTCTGTGTGTGTGTGTTGTGTGTATCATAATATTGTGTGCCTGTTTGTGTGTTGTTTCACAAAGAGTCTGTGTGTGTGTTGTGTGTATCACAATATTGTGTGCCTGTTTGTGTGGTGTTTCACAAAGAGTCTCTGTGTGTGTGTGTTGTGTTGTTTCACAAAGAGTCTGTGTGTGTGTGTTGTGTGTATCACAATATTGTGTGCCTGTGTGTGTGTTGTTTCACAAAGAGTCTGTGTGTGTGTGTGTGTTGTGTGTATCACAATATTGTGTGCCTGTTTGTGTGTTGTTTCACAAAGAGTCTGTGTGTGTGTGTGTGTGTTGTGTGTATCACAATATTGTGTGCCTGTTTGTGTGTTGTTTCACAAAGAGTCTGTGTGTGTGTGTGTATCACAATATTGTGTGCCTGTTTGTGTGTTGTTTCACAAAGAGTCTGTGTGTGTGTGTGTTGTGTGTATCACAATATTGTGTGCCTGTTTGTGTGTTGTTTCACAAAGAGTCTGTGTGTGTGTGTGTATCACAATATTGTGTGCCTGTTTGTGTGTTGTTTCACAAAGAGTCTGTGTGTGTGTTGTGTTGTGTGTATCACAATATTGTGTGTCTGTTTGTGTGTTGTTTCACAAGAGTCTCTGTGTGTGTGTTGTGTGTATCACAATATTGTGTGCCTGTTTGTGTGTTGTTTCACAAAGAGTCTGTGTGTGTGTGTGTGTTGTGTGTATCACAATATTGTGTGCCTGTTTGTGTGTTGTTTCACAAAGAGTCTGTGTGTGTGTGTTGTGTGTATCACAATATTGTGTGCCTGTTTGTGTGTTGTTTCACAAAGAGTCTGTGTGTGTGTTGTGTGTATCACAATATTGTGTGCCTGTTTGTGTGTTGTTTCACAAAGAGTCTGTGTGTGTGTGTGTATCACAATATTGTGTGCCTGTTTGTGTGTTGTTTCACAAAGAGTCTGTGTGTGTGTGTTGTGTGTATCACAATATTGTGTGCCTGTTTGTGTGTTGTTTCACAAAGAGTCTGTGTGTGTGTGTGTTGTGTGTATCACAATATTGTGTGCCTGTTTGTGTGTTGTTTCACAAAGAGTCTGTGTGTGTGTGTGTATCACAATATTGTGTGCCTGTTTGTGTGTTGTTTCACAAAGAGTCTCTGTGTGTGTGTGTTGTGTGTATCGCAATATTGTGTGCCTGTTTGTGTGGTGTTTCACAAAGAGTCTGTGTGTGTGTGTGTTGTGTTGTTTCACAAAGAGTCTGTGTGTGTGTGTGTTGTGTGTATCACAATATTGTGTGCCTGTTTGTGTGTTGTTTCACAAGGAGTCTGTGTGTGTGTGTGTTGTGTGTATCACAATATTGTGTGCCTGTTTGTGTGTTGTTTCACAAAGAGTCTGTGTGTGTGTTGTGTGTATCACAATATTGTGTGCCTGTTTGTGTGTTGTTTCACAAAGAGTCTGTGTGTGTGTGTGTATCACAATATTGTGTGCCTGTTTGTGTGTTGTTTCACAAAGAGTCTGTGTGTGTGTGTTGTGTGTATCACAATATTGTGTGCCTGTTTGTGTGTTGTTTCACAAAGAGTCTGTGTGTGTGTGTGTTGTGTGTATCACAATATTGTGTGCCTGTTTGTGTGTTGTTTCACAAAGAGTCTGTGTGTGTGTGTGTATCACAATATTGTGTGCCTGTTTGTGTGTTGTTTCACAAAGAGTCTGTGTGTGTGTGTGTTGTGTGTATCACAATTTTGTGTGCCTGTTTGTGTGTTGTTTCACAAAGTCTGTGTGTTGTGTGTATCACAATATTGTGTGCCTGTTTGTGTGTTGTTTCACAAAGAGTCTCTGTGTTGTGTGTACCACAATATTGTGTGCCTGTTCGTATTGTTTCACAACAGTGTATGTGTGCGCGCGCGCGTGTCCGTTGTCACAACAGTGTGTGTGCGTGTGTGTTGTATCACAACAGTCTGAGTCTGTGTGTGCGAGCTTGCGTTGTGCACACGAAAATACCAACAAGCTAACAAAAATACTTGACGAGTCCGCACTGAGACATCCTCCCGAGGCAAGATATCCAAGTCAGGAGTCCGCTAGCCTTTATCAACGTCCACTTTAATTATTGAAACCTAGACTTTGATATAGGCTGTGGGAAACTCTGCCATCAGGAAGATGGTACTGAGACGACTAAGAATTTAGGGACATTTTCCAAGTGCTTGGTCGCCTAATAATCGAGCTAATAACATGGTGTAAATTTCAGAGTGCAAAATCAACAAAAGACATACCCCGTTCTAACGTTCTAAGAAGTTATAAGATTTTGTTAGCATTTTGAGACCACTTTGTTAATCCCGTCAAATACCATGTCTGCCTTTTGAGCTAAACAAAGCAGATATTTTCAAGTGTCGCTGAAGTGCTGATATTCAGAATTAAGAATATAATGTCCAGGTTAATCACGAAACGAAAATGTTTCTCAGTTCTGCTATAGGTTTATTCAAAAAGAATGAAACTATTTATTTTTATTAAAACACAACTTTCATTAACAGAGTGTAAGTACAGGCACAGAAAAGTAGCAAGGATCGTTGATGCTCATCTATCAACAGTATAACAAACGTACTACTATATCTACAATACCGTAAAGATGATCATTTATATACAATGTACACTTAAATAAATAAATATCTTATTAAATAAATAAGAGCTGGCAGGCCAAACGCTCGAAAATCTTTGTTTTGTTTGTTTATTTGTTGTTTAACGCCGCACTCAGCAATATTCCAGCTATATGACGGCTGTGTGTAAACAATCGAGTCTGGACCGGAGAATCCAGTGATTGACATCATGGGCATCGATCTTGGTAATTGGGATATGATGACATGCATCAACCAAGTCAGCGAGCCTGACCACCCGATCCCTTTGGTCGCCTCTTACAAGCACAGTCGCCATTTACGGCAAGCAAGGGTTGCTGAAGACCTATTCCACCCCGCGCTCGAAAATATTTATATCAGATGCGTGTTTGCGTTCTGCTGGAGATTCTTTATTGACCGATGGACCTCCTCCGTGGTCTTGTGGTAGAGCGTCCGCCCGGAGAGCGGAAGGTCCGGGGTTCGATCCCCGGCCGCGTCATACCAAAAGACGTTAAAAGTTGGTACTTGTTGTTACCCTTTCTGGCGCTCGGCATTAACGGGCTAAAACAAAGACTGGTCGGCTCAGAGTCAGTATACTGTGTCTGAGTGGGGTATTCATGTTAAACTGCGGCATGGTATCTGAGTGGGCAAGCACTATAAATCGGCATCAGTCCGGACTAGTACAAGCAGCCACACAAACACACACACGTACATGCACGTCGCTATATAAGTGCAATAATCTTGACGCGACGTAAACCCCATTCCACCCACCTTATCGACCGATGCGTCGTAGAATATCCTCCATTTCAGCGAGTGTGCGCACCTTAGTATTTTCGAGCGTTAAGGAGCACACACGACGCATCGGTTGATAAAGAATCTTCAGCAGAACGCAAACACGCATCTGATATTAATGGCTGAATGTCCAGCTTCTCTACCTCCCCCCACGCACCACCCTGCCCACTACATCAGCTTGCACCCCATACAGCATTGCTGTGGGTAGTCGGGGGCGTACACGTTGCGCGAGTTTCCGTACACCCACAGCCGGTGGGGGAATTCCCGCCACGTGTAATGAACCTCCGTCACCGGTATCACCCACATGCTCTGAACCTGAAAACACGAAAGCATATTCGACTTGGTTCAACTAGAAAATAGACTCGTGGTCTGCAAGTTACGACTAGATCACACAAACAACACTATATTCGTCCAAACACTGATGAGTTGGTTATTGTTGAAATCTCATATAAGAAATAAATGACTCGTGGTCGTTGTTTATTTAAGAAATAAACGACGAGTGGGAGTTGTTTATCCTTATAAAAAAACACTGCAGGGTGCATAAACCATGAGGGGCGCAGCCAGAGGTTCGGAATGAACACCATTCAATCACTCGGGCCAATTGCGTGTATCGATGCTCATGATGTCAAGCACTGGATTGTCTGGTCCAGATTCGATTATTTACCGACCGCCGTCATATAGCTGAAATATTGCTGAGTGCGGCGTTAACAACAAGCAAAACAAACAAAAATCATTAACTCGGGACAGATAATAAATAACTCCCCGTAGGTCTTTGGTTATTCTCTAATTACAGTAGATTACGGTTATAACGAACTCGAGGGGACCACTAATTTTAGTTCGTAATAACCGTAGTTCGTTATAAGCATATATACAGCATACATACAACAAATGGTCGGGACTAAATAGTAAGTTCGTTATATCAGTCAGTTCGTTATATGCGCGTTCGTTATAAACGTAGTTTACTGTAGTTTACACACCTCACCTGCTCGGCTGCGGTCGACTTTCCGATTCTGAGTAAAAAATCTGATTACACAAAGCCAGTGCATTGGTTGTTTCGCACAAGGCACCACCAGACATACATTGGAGGTGAGGTGGGGTGAAATTGGGTTTATTGCACTTATATAGCGACGTGCATGCACGTGTGTGTGTGTCTGCTTGTACTAGTCCGGACTGATGCCGATTTATAGTGCTAGTCAACAGAGATACCATGCCGCAGTTTAACATGAATACCCCACTCAGACACAGTATACTGACTCCGAGCTGACCAGTCCTTGTTTTAGCCCTTTAACGCCGAGCGCCAGACAGGGTAACAACAAATACCATCTTTTAACGTCTTTTGGTATGACGCGGCCGGGGATCGAACCCCGGACCTTCCGCTCTCCGGGCGGACGCTCTACCACTAGACCACGAAGGCGGTGACATACATTGTGGTTTGTATGTTAGTTGTCTAACGCCGCACTGTAAATATTCGTGTCTGGACCAAACACGTGATTGATATTTTGATATGGATGCCCACCTGTTTAAGTATTTTCCCTCCAGGATAGGCGTCATTATGTTTGGTAACAAGAGAAATGGACGCCTTGTTCATGGCTTCCACGGAGTATGTTGTGATGGGGGCGACCTGCAACAAACAAAATTATTATATAATACAAAGACTCCAGCCAGTCATTTCACGAGAAGCGGTCACATGTCATAAAAGAGATGTGAGTGAGTATGGTTTTACGCCGCTATTAGCAATATTCCAGCAATATCACGGCGGGGGACACCAGAAATGGTTTCACACATTGTACCCATGTCCGGATTCGAACCCGGGTCTTCGGCGTGACGAGCAAACGCTTTAACCACGAGGCTACCCGACCGCCCCTCATTAGAGAGAAACGCATATTGACTCCAGGTCAGGTGTTGTTATTTACGGTACTGACTTGAAGTGGCATTCCCCAAACCTAAGCCAATATGTTGTCTCTGGGTGTTTTTAAACTCCTAACATTATTGTAGCTAATATAGTTTGATAGATCTTCAGGAACCCATGCCTGTCGTAGGATGCGACTAACGGGATCGGGTGGTCAGGCTCGCTGACTTGGTTGATGCATGTCATCGTATCCCAATTGCGTGGATCGATGCTCATCATGTCAATCACTGGATTGTCTGGTCCAGACTCAATTATTTACAGAACGCCGTCATATAGCTGAAATATTGCTGAGTGCGGCGTTAAACAACAAGAAAACCAACAAAACCAACAATGTTCAATTTGCTTTTGTCTTTAGAATATACACAGATAGTCAACATTGAACTGTCGGTCACTCCCTGCAGGTGAGGTAGCCCAGAGGACAGCATCTTCTCGAAGCAAGGGAGTTTACCGACTCTAAAAGTCCAGTTTCCACCCTTGCCGAACAAGGCTGGAATTCCTGAGTTATAGTTTGGCTGGACAAACGAGTCTATGCATGGCCCAATCAAAACTGCGTAACGAAATCGACGACACGGATTGCAAAGTGCAGATTTCGGTCGACTCCAGGATTAGCAAAGGATACCGTCAACCGGGCGTCGACACCTTGTTTTTAATCAAGGTGCTCACGTGATTTGATGCACATTGTAGTCTTGACTGGGCGCCGCCATTTTGTTTGAAGCAAATGCAAGTGATATGAGAGGTGACATAGAAGAGACATAACTCGTAATAGTCACTGGTGGCGCTACGAGCGAGCCTGGAAATTCCAGCCTAGTTCGGCAAGGGTGGAAACTGGACTTTCATAGTCAGTTAACTCCCTTGCCTCGGGAAGATGGGTAGATGGTGATTGTCACGTGAAGGCCCGGTTTCGATGGGTCCAGTGTATTTATCATAATAGGGAATTGGGAAGAGAGACAGTTGCCAACAGTCATAATTTGTTTGTAAACATAACGATCAGGCGGTTGGAGTTCAACTCCATGCGTAGATGTTGGGAGCTTGAGTCATGGCCAATACGGAGTGCTCCGCAAACGACTATCGCTGCGAGGAGCTTGACGATACTTACAGGGAAGTCTTCCTGGATGAATATCTCAGAGCCCTCACAGATAAATATGTCATCTTCAGGGACAGGGGACGGGTTGTCCATGAAGGAGTCACGCTCGCACCGACTGCAATGAAACACACACCTTGTCATTCTGTAAATATCTAAATGATCCTGTCAGGAGCTCCCGACAGAAATGTCCCCAGTCCCGCATCTGCGGACGGGGCAGAGGTGAAATGGGGTTAAACGTCGCGTCCATGATTATTGCACTCATACTGACCTTTTTCACACTTTCGCCATCTTGGACCGAAAACGAGGCTTGTACCGGGGTGGTTAAATTGTCACAGTTTGTCCCGATTGCGTGCCTTGTTGACATCTCCATGTGTTTCATGTGCTATCCAGCCTTTACCTTCTGCTCTCCAAACCTCGCTTTCAAACCGGAAGTAGCGAAGTGTGAAAAAGGTCAAAAGCGACGTGCATGCACGCGTGAGTATGTGGATGCTTTTACTAGTCTAGTAAGACTACTAGACTTAGGCCGATTTATAGTGCTATAACTGTTCATAATTCATTGCCAAAAGTAATCGTTAATTGTCAGTATCTCGTCGACAAAACCAAATACTGCCACATTGATAAGTAACACTGAACTATTTTCTAGTTTCACGTGGCAATGACCTTGTTTGTGTGTCAGCTTTGAAACAGATGAATCGTTTAGAAAATGAAAAAAGAAGCCACGAAATATACACGTAATTATACACAGACCCTTTCTAACATCTTTATACAATGACCTTATGTAACCTCTTTATACAATGTCCTTTTGTAACATCCTTATACAATGTCCTTTTGTAACATCTTTATACAATGACCTTTTGTAACAGCTTTATACATGGACCTTTTGTAACCTCTATACAATGACCTTTTGCAACAACTTTATACAGCAACTTCTTGTAACATCCTTATACAATGACCTTTTGTAACATCTTTATACATAGACCTTTTGTAACATTCTTATTCAATGACCTTTTGTAACATCTTTATACAATGACCTTTTGCAACAACTTTATACAATGACCTTTTGCAACAACTTTATACAGCAACTTCTTGTAACATCCTTATACAATGACCTTTTGTAACATCTTTATACATAGACCTTTTGTAACATCCTTATTCAATGACCTTTTGTAACATCCTTATACAATGACCTTTTGTAACATCTTTATACAATGACCTTTTGCAACAACTTTATACAATGACCTTTTGCAACAACTTTATACAGCAACTTCTTGTAACATCCTTATACAATGACCTTTTGTAACATCTTTATACATAGACCTTTTGTAACATTCTTATTCAATGACCTTTTGTAACATCCTTATACAATGACCTTTTGTAACATCTTTATACAATGACCTTTTGTAACATCTTTACACATAGACTTTTTGTAACATCTTTATACAATGACCTTTTGTAACATCTTTACACATAGACTTTTTGTAACATCTTTATACATGGACTTTTTGTAATTTTTATACATAGACCGTTAGTAACATCTTTATACAATGACCTGTTGTAACCTTTACATACAATGACCTTTGTAACATCTTTATACAATATATGTATATATTTTGTAACCTTTAAATGATATTGGAGAGAAATTAATGTTGATTGTCTATCATGTATTCAGTGATGAGATTTTATATTCCCCTGATGAAATAGATATGCACTGTCACATTGAGAAATGACACTTTATACCGGAAATACTCCCATTCCTGCTGGATGACAAATAACATGTTAAACTCACCTCGTCACCTACTAAAGTTGACATTTCCATTGAAAGGCTCCTCTTTGTCAATTACTGTTGCACGTGTTATTTGTCATCGAGACCGGCAGAAACTACTTCCGGTGTGAAGTCGTAATGTTTGACCTCGGCAGTGTTTGTTTGTTTGTTGTTTAACGACGCACTCGGCCATATGCCAGCTATATGACGCCGGTCTGTAAATAATCAAGTCTGGACCGGACAATCCACTGATTGACATCATGAGCATCGATCCACGCAATTGGGATCGATGACATGCATTAACTAAGTCAGCTTCCCTGACCACCCGATCACTATGACGACAGGCATAGTCACCAGGATATGTACAGACGCTCAGTCGCTCAGTCGTACAACTTACTAATTGACCCTTAGTTCCACGAATGTTCTGACCGCTCGGTGGCCCTTGCAGGTACGGCAAGTTTCTTGACCACTCCCGTAACATGACTTGCATCTGCAACAGTGAACGGGTTAAGTTTTACGCACGTTAACTGCGCATATGAAGGTTTTGTTTGTTTGTTTGTTGTTTAACGCCGCACTCAGCAATATTCCAGCTTTATGACAGCGGTCTGTAAATAATCGAGTCTGGACCAGACAATCCAGTGATTGATATCATGAGCATCGATCCACGCAATTGGGATTCGATGACATGCATCAACCAAGTCAGCGAGCCTGACCACCCGATCCCGTTAGTCGCCTTTTACGACAAGCATAGTCACCTTTTACGGCAAGCATGGGTTGCTGAAGACCTATTCTACCCCGGAATCTTCACGGGTCTGGGGCAAATGGTCTGATTGACATGTACATGGGTAGGAACTTAACACGAACTTGGGGGCACCAGAAATGGGCTTATCGGATTGTTCCCATGTGAAGATTCGAACCCGACCCTTCTGCGTGACCAGCGAACGCGTTAACCACTAGGCTTACCCACCGCTAGATTCACCGCTCAGCGAAGTGCGGCGCCTGAGACGAAATCATGTTAGGATCAACATCGGTAATAACTAAGATGCACGAGTGAATATTTCGGGAATTTATTGTATTCATTCTTGCTATACACAAAGGGGTGATATGACCAAATACGGAACATGTTGTATAACATTCATGGTAGAATTGAGGCTAGTGAGTGAGTTTGGTTTAACGCCGCTTTTTACAGTATCCCAGTTATATCACGGCGTGCCAGCTTAATATGTGGGAGGAAAGCCCCAAGTGATGCAGATCTCGGACGTTTACAAGTTGGGTGAAACCCACGAGCACGGGTATGGTGCTGACAAACCTAGAAACTTAATCGGGGCGAACCGGGATTCGAACCCACAATCATAGGTTTCTGGCGTGCCCAAGGGACGCAACTCTGCACAGCGAATCGCGGCGCTTTAGACGACTGGGCCACCCGTGCCCAAGAATTGAGGCTAAGTTTTGTCTGTTACAAAATGTCTTGTGTATTTCCGAATGAAATCAACGGAAATTAACCATGCAGCCTCTAAAAGATAATTAATATCTTTCTTGCTATGGCTAACAAATCACAACCACCTACCTAAGAATACACTTCCGTCTGCATGACTCACACGCCACTTCGGCCACTTCCTCCTCTTCGCCATACTCTACTTCCTCCAGCGTCACCCCGAGGCCCCCGCAGCTCTTGCAGCGTCTGTATCCCGACCCCTCACACACGGAGCACGGCACGGACCCCCGGGCAGCGCACACGTCACACGCCTACACAGAAACAGGAGTGTCAGTCCGTGGGAGACCTCACCCAATCGACCCGTGAAGATCCGGGGTAGAATAGGTCTTCAGCAACCCATGCTTGCCGTAAAAGGTGACTATGCTTGTCGTAAAAGGCGACTAACGGGATCGGGTGGTCAGGCTCGCTGACTTGGTCGATGCATGTCATCGATCCCAATTGCGTGGATCGATGCTCATGATACTAATCACTGGATTGTCTGGTTCAGACTCGATTATTTATAGACCGCCGTCATAAAGCTGGAATATTGCTGAGTGCGGCGTTAAACAACAAACCAACCAACCAACCTCACCCACTCGCGGAAACACTCATCCTTGGATGATCCATAACTTCAGCACCATTGGAAAAATCTATTTGTCCCAAAGGAAAGATGTATGTGCACACCAAAGACCGAATAGCTACAACAGACATCGAGTTGACGTAAACAAACGGCCGCCATATTGGAAGTGACGAATACTTAAAACCGCTTGCATATCAAAAGTCTGTTATCAGGTGAGGTGACGTGAAATGCGGTTTAACGTCGCGTCCAAGATTATTGCACTTATATAGCGACGTGCATGCACGTGTGTGTGTGTCTGTTTGTACTAGTCCGGACTGATGCCGATTTATAGTGCTAGCTCACTGAGATACCATGCCGCAGTTTAACATGAATACCCCTCTCAGACACAGTATACTGACTCCGAGCCGACCAGTCCTTGTTTTAGCCCCTTAATGCCGAGCGCCTGACAGGGTAACAACAAGTACCATCTTTAAACGTCTTTTGGTATGACGCGGCCGGGGATCGAACCCCGAACCTTTCGCTCTCCGGGCGGACGCTCTACCACTAGACCACGGAGGCGGTCTCTGTTATCAGACGACCAAGATCTATTAAAAAAGGACGACCAACGTGAGAATGTGAAAGAAATGCGCGCCGTCGTTTTTCTGAATGTAAATTCAGCTAATTCGGGGATATATATTCTACACATAACCCTTTCATACCCTTCTGGACTCATCTTAGACTTGCTCATTGGCGTGTCTGTATAATATACATATGAGTGAGTGAGTGAGTTGGATTTAACGCCGCTTTTAACAGTATTCCAGTTATATCGCGGCGTGTCAGCTTAATGTGGGAGGAAAGCCCGAAGTGATGCAGGTCTTAGACGTTTACAAGTTGGGTGAAACCCACGAGCACGGATATAGTGCCGACAAACCTATGTCGAACACTCTAGTCAATGCATGCATCGTGTAAACAGAAACATATTCGAATGTGCTTACTTCTTTACTAAATGACACTAGTTTAGCAGAATCAGTAAATAAAAGCGACAAAAAACAACATAACCATAAGAAATATCAGCTGAAGGCACAGACCATTGTACGATTCGACTTTTTCACAAGCATGTGTTTAAATATCACTATCACATAGTTATGATACACATTGTTCGCGAAAAGGTGACAGCGCGTTTCCCGCCCGACAGGTGGCACCCGTCACAAACACATGCAAAGGCAAGCCATGTTTTCAACTGAAATACCACGGGAATATACGGTACAAGATACAAGTGATCTCGGAAAGATGATGCGCCTCCGTACTATCGAATAGGAAGTATACTGAGTCAAATTAAAAACTTCACATTTTTAAAAAGTAATCCCATGTATGATATACAACGGACAAATGTATCAGAGAAGGTAATTTTTAATCATTAATGTCCAAAGAAGGATTTTAATTAACGGTGGTAACCATAATTTGTTCCAAGCACCTACGGTATTCGGTAATAACATCAACAGTTTAAATCATAAGTCCCAAGCACGAGAATCTGATGGCACACAAGTTCAGTAGCGTGTATGGCCACCATGTGCGTTGACAACTGCCACACAACGCCTCCGCATGGACCTTGTGATGCTTGTGAACACATGATTGGGAAGACGACGCCATTCTTGCTGCAAAATGGTGCCAAGATCTTGCAAATTCTGTGGTTGGTTCTGGAGAGTGCGCAGACTTCTGCCAAGAGCATCCCAGACGTGTTCGATAGGATTGAGGTCGGGAGACAAATTCCTTGTCAACATTGCTGTGTTGGGTCTGGCATTGTCGTGTTCGAAGATCAAACCGGGTCCATGTGCTGCCATAAAAGGCAGAAGTTCTGGTGCCAGTACCTGGTCGCGGTAAGCAGCAGCATTGAGGTTGCCACGGATGACAAGAAGCCTGGAACGTGCATTGCCACAGAAAGCACTGCACACCATGACACTTCCGCCTCGAAATCTGTCAACTTCCTGTACACAACACTTGGCGTAACGTTCATGACGGCGCCTCCACGCCCTCGCCCTACCATTAGCAAATCGAAGATTAAATCGGGATTCATCACTGAAGACGACTTGATTCCAATTCCTCTGAGTCCATCGTAAGTATCGCTGTGCTCACAATTGACGTTGACGTCTGTGTATTTGAGTCAGAATCGGCCCGCAGTATGGCCGCGGTGCTTGAAGGTGAGCAGTTCTCAGACGGTTTCGAATAGTTTGCGCACTCAGCCTACCCCTAAACAGTTCATTTCTGGTTGATGTAGCCGTCAAAAATCGGTTACAGAGGTGACGTAAGAAAATCTGACGATCCTCTGCATGTGACGTCACACGTGGTCGATCTGGCCGAGGGTCAGCGGTGGTACCCGTTTGCTGTAGACGCGTCTGTAAATCATAAACAGTCCGTCGACTACAACCCATCGTCCTTGCGACTTCAGCTACGGACGTTCCCGTCTGCAACATGCCGATGGCACGTTCACGTTGCACATTTGAAAGGCGTGAAATGACAAATGGCCGTTAAGACTTTTGTTTTCTTGTGTTTTTCTTTTTTAGTTAATGACTGCTAACAAGTATGGCTAAAAACACGTGCGGTATTATGGCCACGTGACCAGTTGCACGTGAAAAAACACTTTTGCCACTATAGTGCTGTGCACATGATTCTGATCGATTCACCTACACAAAAACGGGTGTTATCTGAAGACAATACGTGGCCATTACTGTTTAAATACACAATAAGGGCCCACAATGACAACTGGTCAAAATGTTAAAATTTTAGGATTGTGAAATTTTTAATTTGATTCAGTATATATCACTGATTACATTATAGGGTTTGCAAATTATTTCCTCTCATCGTCCCTAGGCAAGGTAGTTAACCGACTCTAAAAGTCCAGTTTCCACCCTTGCTGAACTGGGCTCGATCGCAACGCCACCAGTGGCTATTACGAGTTATATCCCTTCTATGCCCCTCCTATTGACCAATCAGATTCCACCTCTCTTTTACTTCAAACAAATTGTCGGCGCCCAGTCAAGACGATCTGATCGATGATCAAGATATATATTGTAATTTAGGTCCTGAAATAAAGTTTTAGACGAATTTAGCAGTATTTCAGCAATTACCCTGTGGACAATGTAGACGCGATGTTGGAGAACGGAGGTCAAGTCAAGGCCATGTTAATTTTCCAATAGCTCACCTGTACTCTAGTTGTATGTGGCACCGGACTCCTCAGCTCGTGCCTTGTGTTCATATAGATGGGGCTACATGGAATCTCCCACGGCGAGGGGGGCACTCCCTGGTTCGCCCCGTCCAAGGGCCGTTTCTCCCGGTGTGGCACAAACCGCAGGCATGTCGACCTAGTCTCGCCGAAAGTTATGAGATCGTACTGGAATGAATCATGCAATCTCTGAATCCTATACCCGGCCAATGGTCATCTGATAACTGTTCATGTAACAAGGTCGGATCACGAACTGAGTTCAACTAAAGCCCAGGATTTGACGTAAGGTACCTGGGCCCCGATCCAGAAAGCCTTCGTAACTTACACATATCGTAAGAGTTTACGATTGAAATTAAGATAAGTTTAGTAATATTTACGACCGATCCACAAAGCGTTCTTAATCCGTTCGTAAATTCATTGTCTTACGACCATTGTCGTAAATTAAGATTGTCGCTCTCCTGTGATGGAGGTAAGAATATAGGGGGATTTTCCCCAATGACGTCATTAATTTACAGGGGAATCCCTTCACTCTGTTAGCAGACGACGCCAGTCGTATTATTATCACCCGATCATGGATTGCACGTCGTTATAAAGCTCCATCGCTGTTCACCTCATGGGCTTAAAAACGATTTGTTTCTGGGTTTTTTTAGTACATGGGCTCAAATTAAGAAATCATTTTCGAATGATCCAACCAAAGCAATTGTTTCGAAACACGTGGAACGTGAGGATATTACGTGGATATTTTTGGTTATTGCAACGGAATTGGTCTCAAAATAGAAACTGGAGGTTTTTCAATATCCCTAGATATAAAAGGCTGTGCACTCTTTGTAATGAAGGTTACGTCCAAGATGAGAACCCTTTTTTGATGGTTTGTGTCTGGTATAAAACATAATCTCATTAAAATCAGACCTCAGTTCTCGCTACCGCTAAACAAAGATCTGAGGACATCCCATTAGGGGTCACGTCAGAACGACCTTTCATCCGACCATGCAATCAGAGCATCGCTTACCAGATTACGAAAGTGACAGTCGGAATGGGATTTCTAATCATGCAACCTCGAAAACTTTAACTCCGAACGATAGTTACGGGTTTAACGACTGAATCCATACAATCTAGGCCATCTATTAGCCATTCCAGAATGTTCTTTTGTTCAGGTTTCAAATTTGTAATCGGTGACAATGTGTAATCCGAGGCCAGTCTCATTAAAATCAGATCTTTTACTCCTATGAGATCCTCCAACGGGGACGTGGCAGATGAACTTTCAATAAGTCAATCAGGGTCGATAAGCTTCTAAATTCTCGATACGAGTGGGCAAAATCTACAAAACCTAAGAACGGCTTCACGTAGTATTGGACTATGCTTACGTAGTGTACGTGTTTAGGATAAAGTGCCGTTATGTCCATCTCTCTGGCGGGGTCGGTGCCGACGCAGCAGGTGCTCGTGGCGTAGCTCATGATGGCGGTACGACAGTCCGTCTCCGTAAACAAGCTGGGGAGACTGAGAAAAGAGGAAATATCAAAAGATCACGTTCGTAGGGTGTCAATACTGATTTCGACACATTTATGGAAGGTCTAGTCATCATTGTGGACCATTTATTCTGTTAACGTTATTGATTCTTTCTTATCATACAGTCGTGATTTACTTGATGTCATTCATTGTGTGTGTATATATATGAGCTAGCGATGCGGTGTCTGCGGAGCGTCTACGGGCTATTGACATGCTGGAAACTGGCTGAAGTCGGCGTGCAGTGGCCAATACGTTCAATGTTTCGCAGTCTGTGATTAACAGACAATGGAACAGGTACCAACAAACCCAAACTGTTGGCGTTCGATCCCATTCAGGTCGTCCCAGGTCAACGACAACAGTACAGGATCGAGTGATCCCTAATCTGGCTCTACGAAATCGAGCTCAAACGGCGAATCAAAACGCTGAAAACCTTTATCAGGCTACTGGAGTACGAGCTACGGTCACACGATTAGAAATAGTCTATAGCCGCCCCTTACAAGTTATCATATTGTCAACAGACGTCAAAGGTGTACAATCCCCCGCCGCGTCATACTAAAAAGACGTTAAAAGATGGTACTTGTTGTTACCCTGTCTGGCGCTCGGCATTAAGGGGCTAAAACAAGGACTGGTCGGCTCGGAGTCAGTATACTGTGTCTGAGTGGGGTATTCATGTTAAACTGCGGCATGGTATCTCAGTGAGCAAGCACTATAAATCGGCATCAGTCCGGACTAGTACAAGCAGCCACACAAACACACACACGTACATGCACGTCGCTATATCAGTGCAATAATCTTGGACGCGACGTTAAACCCCATTTCACCTCACCTCAATGGTGTACACAACGTCGAAGCTGGGGTATTCGTCGTTGGTCACGTGTCATGTTTTGAGATGAGTCCCGATTCACGTTGCGTCTGGCGACGTCGACATGAACGTCAAGCAACGTCAACCTGTGACCTCATGACAGATTTGACGGTCTATCGATTGTGGTGAGGGTTGCATCACTGTATATGAACACAATTCCATATTGTGCAAGGAAGGGTCGTTGGACAGTACTATCGGGACAACACACCGACACCCTTTATTGTCCCGTTTGGCGTGTGGGTCGACGTTTTGTCTTTCAGGACGACAACGCCCGTGCTCAATCGGCACACCATCCACACACTGCCATGGCCAGTAATGAGCCCAAACCTTTCCCCAACTGAGCACGTCATGATAGGGAGACGTGTGCGTCAACATGAAAGACCGCCGACCACGGCTGAACTCGGCCGGGCGCTGCAAGAGGAGTGAGACAGACACCTTCAAATCACCTCGTCGAGCGGATGCATGTTTGACAACTCTTGGTGGTAATACGCACTACTCATCCAAAAACGTTAACTTTGAAATGTCCCATCTTGTCCCAATCGTCCATCAAGATCATTGGGGGTCATAACATCGACAGTCATACGTCACTGCCGGTTGTAAGTGTTCCCCATTCGTTCATAATCAGCATACAAGTATCACTGGAAACTAAGATCTCTTACATTTGTAGACATTTTGAGTTTTTTCCGAGTGCCCCTACTTTATTTGAAGAGTATATATGTCCTCAGCAGCTTCCAATACAAGACAGTGGGTGCGAGGCCGCATACATCAAGCGTATATCACATTATACTACCAAAACAAGTTAATACTTTCATGTTACCATGGTTAAGTTGTCATGCCACGACAGTTTAACAATAGGTGAGGTGAGGTGAAATTGGGTTTAAGGTCGCGTCCAAGATTATTGCACTAATATAGCGACGTGCATGCACGTGTGTGTGTGTGGCTGCTTGTACTAGTCGATTTATAGTTCACTGAGATACCATGCCGCAGTTTAACATGAATACCCCACTCAGACACAGTATACTGACTCCGAGCCGAACCGACCAGTCCTTGTTTTAGCCCCTTAATGCCGAGCGCCAGACAGGGTAACAACAAGTACCATCTTTTAACGTCTTTTGGTATGACGCGGCCCGGGATCGAACCCCGGACCTTCCGCTCTCCGGGCGGACGCTCTACCACTAGACCACGGAGGCGGTCATTTAACAATAGAAATATGATAGAATCTCGTGATCCTTAACATATTTAGTAGTATATATATATATATGTGTGAGTCCGACATTTTTCAATTTTCATTTTCATTTAAAATTAAACAGAATTGGCCGAGTAATGGCCTTATATAGTGTTTTTTTCGGTATTGCGATTAAATCATCTTAATAATTTGTTTTTTACATACAGTTGACGTATTCAGCAAAAGCAAGTATATGCAAGTCTTGCAGGTTTACGGGGGCACGGGTGGCCCAGTTGTCTAAGGCGCCGCGATTTGCTGTGCAGAGTTGCGTCCCTTGGGCACGCCAGAAACCTATGATTGTGGGTTCGAATCCCGGTTCGCCCCAATTACGTTTCAAGGTTTGTCAGCACCATACCCGTGCTCGTGGGTTTCACCGAAGTGGTAAACGTCTGAGACCTGCATCACTTCGGGCTTTCCTCCCACATTAAGCTGACACGCCGTGATATGACTGGAATACTGTTAAAAGCGGCGTTAAACCCAACTCACTCACTCACTCTTGCAGGTTTTCACATGATTTCGAACCTACCCTTTTATCGACAGCCCCGGGAAATGTCTTGCTGTCGGGATCTCACAGGGTGGATGTTTCTCAACAATTGCTGTGTAAAATGGAAGGAAGGTTAATTAAATAACGTAGGACCCTGTTATTCAACATAAGGTTAACCACTGAACTACAAACTCGGCATCCAGAGGGTTAGGAGTAATCATGCTTTCAGAAACAAAAGAACCATTTGGTTTGATTTAACAGATAGTTATCACTGACTTAACGGCTGATTAATTATGATTACATGTTATTGAACCTCGAAACTGAATATCAAAGCAATTCATAAACATTGAAAATTGGACATCAACATCGAAAATTTACTCGTGCGACATCCACATCAGTGACATCCATTGGTGCCACATTTAAAATAAAACGTATTTTTTCAGTTTAATTCAAGCCTTTAGGTGCAGGGTAAGCCCCAAACGCTCTGTAATTTTAGGCCGACGGTAAACACTGGCGTCTGAAACGGTTACTATTTGTTTGTTTGTTTGTTGTTCAACGGCGCACTCAGCAATATTCCAGCTATATGACGGCGGTCTAAAAGATAATCGAGTCTGGACCAGACAATCCAGTGATTGACATCGCGAGCATCGATCCACGCAATTGGGATCGATGACATGCATCAATCACGTCAGCGAGCCTGACCACCCGATCCCGTTAGTCGCCTATTATGACAAGCATAGTTGTCTTTTACGGCAACATGGGTTGCTGAAGACCTGTTCTACCCCGGATCTACACGGGTAGAAACGGTTACTAAAGAAGGAACTCTTGAACATTCCTTACCAAAATTGGGGAAGGTATTCTGAAAAATGCCATCTTCCCGAAGCAAGGGCGTCAACTGACTATAAAAGTCCAGTTGCCAGCCCTGCCCCACAAGAACAGACCTCCATCTACAACTTTACCGCACACTGGGATTAAGAAGATTGAATCACGTGAAATTGTAACAATACCTACGTTTGTCAAATTCCTCATGACTATAGCCTTGGATCTTGGGGACAATGGGGTGGCGTTTCTTGCGATGGGTTTGAACTGCAGGTGTGGCCATCTCCGTTCACAGATCGTACACGCTGAACAATCAGAGTGAAAAACAGGCAATAGTGAAGGTGTCCAAAACATTCCTCACGTGTACTAATCATGGAAGCTGAGCGATAGATGAATTAATTTGACATACGTAAACTCAGCCATAACAAAATCTCCCATTCTACCCTGGATATTCACGGCTTCAGAGTTAGTTACTTTGGTTTGGTTTGTTTGTTTGTTGTTTACGCCGCACTCAGCATTATTCCAGCTATATGGCGGCAGTCTGTAAATAATCGAGTCTGGACCAGACAATTCAGTGATTGATATCATGAGCATCGATCCACGCAATTGGGATCGATGGCATGCATCAACCAAGTCAGCGTTCCTGACCACCCGATCCCGTTAGTTGCCTTTTACGACAAGCATAGTCACCTTTTACTGCAAACATGGGTTGCTGAAGACCTTTTCTATCCCTGAATCTGCACGGGTCTGTTAGTTACCTTATCGAATTTAGTTTGGCTCAGTTAGTTGTATATGGTACGTTATTTTGTTATTAGTCTACAAGAGATTAGGCTCATGAAGCATATTCAGGAAGACAGGAAGGCCTGTAGATTCTAGCTGCTTCTTCTTTTAGATTATATAACGTTTCTTGACTACATCCACCCCCAAACCATGCAAACACACTCAAAATTTGATACGAATACTACTAAGGTATTGCTGATAAGCAGGCGATGAATTTGGGTAAAAGATTAAGTACCAAGTTCGGTATTTTTGTAAAACACACTTTCAAATAGGACGCAATATACCTACTCACATTTTGCGCGGCCGTCACAACGTCGAGACTTGTATTGTTATGAGATGTCCGGCACAGTTACTAGGCAAGGAACTGTGACGTCATACCTACTGTGACGCAATACACAAACAAAAGTGATGGACACTCGGGTCTGCTCGGCATATTCCGCTAACGAAGTCAGGTGTATCAGTGAATGAATGCTGTATCACAATACTATAAGGGTAACGCTATTTTTCAGGGCATTATCATTTGCAGAAGCCCGAGGTCTTCCATTAACTTCCCGACGAAGGAGGGCAGTTGAAAGACCGAGGGCTTTTGCAAATGATAATACCCTGAAAAATAGCGTTACTGTTATTACAGCTAAAATGGATGGAATTTGTTATCAAATAAAAAGAAACAACAATATCGGCTTTGAAACAATTAAAGGAATCGACACCATAAGCTGGTTCCCGGCTCCCTATGCGCGTCGTCAAAGTTTTGATATTAGAGATGGGGCCCAGCTTATCGACACCAATGTCACTAACCATCTTTTACAAATATGGAAACGTCATAGAACAAACCAGATGACGTCACTATTGAACGTGACGTCACCTAACAACGGGCGTGATAATGGCCCGTCGTCAAGCAATATGAGGGCATTATCAAGTTACAGTGGCCCGCTCATGTTTGATACACGATAAGACTACGGTTTTTTTTGCGTAAAGGGCATGAGGCTAATTACACTTGTGCATAATATAGTTGATCAGATATAAAACATACATATGTGTATATTTCGGCGTTCCTTTTCACGGATGTCAGTTTCGACGTCTGTTGCTGTACAATATAATGTTTCTCCTTTTGGGGCACATCTAACACCCTACAATCTAGTTACCTTTGAACTAACTGTGTGTTGACCCATCGATCCTCAGTTAGTTGCATGGGCTGTTTGGACCCTATTCACATATTATGAACTCGTAAAGGTCTGGGGATGTATAGGTCTTCAGCAACACATGTTTGCCGTAAAAGCCAACTATGCTTGTCATAAGAGGCGACAAACGGGATCGGGTGGTAAGGCTCGCTGGTTGATGCATGTCATCGTATCTCAATTGCGTGGATCGATGCTCATGATGTCAATCACTGGATTGTCTGGTCCAGAGTCGATTATTTACAGACCGCCGCCATGTAGTTCGAATATTGCTGAGTGATGCGTTAAACACCAAACAAACAAACATATTATGACACAAAAAACAACGTTCAGGTTGCCCCACGTGATTCATAGCTTGATGCTACTGATAAGTTAAAACACGTTTACAAACTGAATAGTTTTTGTCTCTTTGTAATTCAAACAAAAACTTGTGAAAATAGTTACTTTTATCCGCACACGTGTGTGTATTTTTCATTGTATTTTGATGTGGCAGTATTCCAATTACCTAAAACAGCAGCCTGCAAATACTCAAGTCTGGGCTGACAAAGTACCGCTCATAGCTTACTCAACGTCATGTTAAAAGACACCCATGAAGATCCGTGGTAGAATAGGTCTTCAGCAACCCATGCTTGCTGTAAAAGGTGACTATGCTTGTCGTAAGGCTCGCTGACTTGGTTTATGCATGTCATCGTGTCAGAACTGCGTAGATCGATGCTTGCGAAGTTTTGGATCCAACGACTGGCGCTGGCAACAGCGCCATCATCCTTGGATCCATCTGTAAATATTCATTTATAAGTATCGTGTGGATTTCTTAAGTGATTATATTCTTGTTGGTTGTAATTGATTTGTTTCTGATTTCTTTAGTTTGGTCAATGACAGGTCTACGTGGGGCTTTACCAATTGCCAAGGAAGAGAAGACAACAACCGGAAAGGAGATATAGCGTCAAGTTCAATGTTAACAGCAGAGAAAAAAGGTTTAATTCGTATTCGAAGAGGCGGAATAAGAGATGACTTTTTACTGTACAAGCTCTCAGGGGATTTAACACACAATTGTATGCAGGATTGGACTCACTGGAATGTAACTTCGTGACATACTGTATAGATAGTGTCATACGGCGTTGTTTAAGTGGTGGCTCATCGGCCTCAACGTACAGACTGTCAATGGGAGAGTTCTGAAAGATGCCAGACAAAGCCTGAGACATTGACGATGTATTGGATCGAGTAATTTAAAGTTACTTTTACAAGCTGAACCATAGATGATGGAGCTATAATCGAGTTTGGTACGGACAAGTGATCAGTATAAGTGAAGGAGGGTTGACTGGTCCCCTCCCCAGTTGGAATTAGAAACAACTTTAAGTAAATCTGGTACCTTCAGAATTTAGCTTTCAGATATTTAATATGTGGTAAGAAAGTAAGATGGTGATCAAAACTTATTCCTCAAAATTTAACTTCTTTTACAACTTGAATTGGAGTTCCAGCCAGATGTACTTCTGGGTCCCTATGAGGTTTATATTTTCGACAGAGATGAATGCAATTTGTTTCAGATTTAGAAAACTCAAAGCCTTCCGCTCTGCGCAATCATTGTTTTTTATTTAGAGTGAGTGAGTGAGTTGGATTTAACACCGCTTTTAACATTATTCCAGTTATATCACGGCGTGTCAGCTTAATGTGGGAGGAAAGCCCGAAGTGATGTAGGTCTCAGACGTTTACCACTTCGGTGAAACCCACGAGCACGAGTATGGTGCTGACAAACCTAGAAACATAATCGGGGCGAACCGGGATTCGAACCCACAATCATAGGTTTCTGGCGTGCCCAAGGGACGCAACTCTGCACAGCGAATCGCGGCGCCTCAGACGACTCGGCCACCCGTTCCCCCTGATTTTATTCAGACAAAGGTGCAACCGTCTCTAGTACGTGTGCATATTTTTACCTCGATATGATACATTAAAGTCATCGACAAACAAAGACCCGTCAACAGAGTCATTTAAAGCCTTCGATAAACTATTATTTTTTATGCTAAACAAAGTTACCGATAATATGCTACCTTGTCGGATACCTTGATCTTGATCGTAAAAATCAGACCAGGTGGATCCAACACGATCCTGGAAATGTCTATCTGTTAAAAACTGAGATACAAAATTAGGCATACGCCCTCTCAATCCAAAGGCATAAAGTTCTTTTAAAATTCCTTGTTTCCAGGTCGTATCATACGCTTTTTCTAAATCGAAAAATATTGATACGCATGTTGTTTACTAATGATAGCATTTTTCACAAAAGGCCCCAGTCTAACCGGGGCGGTCGGGTAGCCTAGTGGTTAAAGCGTTCGCTCGTCACGCCAAAGACCCGGGTTCGATTCCCGACATGGGTACAATGTGTGAAGCCCATTTGTGGTGTCCCCCGCCGTGATATTGCTGAATATTGCTAAAAGCAGCGTAAAACCATACTCACTCACTCACTCCAGGCTAACCAAGTGGTCAACTGTACTTCTATTTTTTCTAAAACCAAATGGAAAATTTGTAATAAGATTATTCGTTTCTAAGTACCATATAAGACTGTTATTTACCATTCTTTCCGTGGCCTTGCAAACACAGCTGGTAAGTGATATTGGTCTGTAATAAGAAGGATCAGTATGATCACGGCCTGGTATTACAACAGCATTTCGCTAAGATGAAGGGAAATTACCCGTTGTCTAGATATTATCAAACATAGTTAACAATGTCTCTGAACATGAATCAGGTAAATGTTTTAGTTATTGATGATGGATATGATCAGAGCCTGCAGCAATATCATGAGCTTGCCCTAAGGCAGTATGCAGTTCACAAGTACAAAAGATTTTATTATAATCCTCGCCATTATCACAATTAAAATTATTTTTCTATCTTTCTTTCTTCAAGTTTTTTTTAACTTTCTGATATTTTTGGGTATAATTTGATGAGGATGAATGTTAAGCTAATATATTTGCTATATCAGATTCAGCAGTTAATAAAGTGTCACCATCCTTTAGATGCACCATATTCCAAACCTTAGACATAGGTGTTCTGGAATTTATTTTCGAAACATAGTTTCGCCATAATTGGCGTTTGTTCTGTTAAACGTACGACGAGTTTTTGCGTTTAATATTTTTGGAGTGATGATAACCCCTAAAATTCAAAACAATGAACTATTGAAACAAGTTCAAACTTTTAATGTATCTAATTAATTTCACTATTTTCTATAATGAACAATTTGTATCCAATTTTTGTGGATAAGTTCACTTCTATATGTGAACTCTGTTACTATGTTGTTTAATAACAACGTTTCTATTCTAAGTTCCCTTATGGTGACTAAACGAAAAGCACATGTTGCCACCTGACAACTTTTTCACAACTATAAACTCAAAACCACATTCGCGTAACATGTTAAGTGCCTCTTGCACGTGAAACACAACATTTTCATCGTTTGGGTGCGTTTTGGCGCACTGTTTTACTGTTGCATTTTTGCACACAGTCCTTCTGTCCATTTCCCCCGCCCTGATGGACTATAGTCTTTTCAAAGTTCTTTGCACAAACTTGATCCTTGAATGATTTATCCTTGAAACCCGATCGTCTTTGCACAGTTATTTGCAGTCTTGATCCTTGAATGCTTTATCCTTGAAACCCGATCTTTGGTCTTTTGAGTCTTCTTCTGAGTCATTCCATTCCAGTGGGCTGATGTTCTTTATAGATCTGGTTAGCACAGTCTGACCAACGCTTACATCCACCGTCAGCTCCAGGGCAAGTCTTTATGGTTGTTCCAAGCTTCCAGTGTCTTCCCTTTTTCTTGCAAATCTCGACCTGGTCTGTTCCACGTTTTCGCGCGTGTTGAGACTTGGCAACCATCTTTTTTCCAAAAATGGCGGACCAGTTCCTGCGCCAACGTCTTCTGGGGTTGAAGTCTGTTGTGTCCACATTCAGGTGCAAATACACCTCCAGCTTGTCCATGAAGGAAGTGATTTGGTGTCAGTGATGTGTCATCTTGAGGGTGAGCTGACTGGTACGTGAGAGGCCTGGAATTTATGAGACCTTCTGCTCCCCCAACTGCTGTCATAAGATCCTCATCTGTGATGTCACCTTTGCTGAGGATGACATAGACTGCGCGCTTTGCTGCCTTAATCATGGTTTCAAATATTCACCCAAAATGAGCAGTGTTTGGAGGATTGAAAAACCATTTTACTCCTTTATTTGCAAGAGATCTCATAACAACATCTTGATCCATTTGTTGTACGAGCTCTTTCAGTTCTTTAACTGCATCCACAAACTTTGTACCATTATCCGATACCATGACTTCAGAAGACCTCTTCTGCTCACCATGCGATAGAATGCATTCAAAAACGAGTCTGCATCTAGACCATATGCAACTTCGAGATGCACAGCCCTGGTCTTGAGACACGTGAACCAACACAAAAAACCCTTTTTGTCTCTTCTTATTCCTTCCTTCTCTCAAGAACGGAGCAGCAAAATCTACACCTGCATCAGTGAATGCTCGAAGTGATGGTTGTACTCTGAACTTCGGTAATGGTGGCAGCACTTGGTATGCTGGCTTTGCTTTGTCTCGTTTGAACTTAGCACACACACGTTCCCATTTTCTGATTTCTTCTCTGCCAGAGATAATCCAAAATATGGCTGATAATGCCTGATATGTTCCCATGACATGATTTCCTGCTTCATGATAGTGCTTAACAATGAGTTTGGTTACCCAATTATGTCGTGCCAGGATAATTGGGAATCTTGCTCCAAAAGAATGACATTCAGCATGTCTTAACCGACCATTTAATTTTTCTCATGAGTCCCTGGTCATCAATTACATCAGTATATATGCTTTATGTACATTGTCATCAGTGAAGATCCGTGGTAGAATAGGTCTTCAGCTTGCTTGCTGTAAGTGGCGATTATGCTTGTTTTAAGAGGCAACTAACCGGATCGGGTGCCCAGGCTCGCTGACTTGGTTGATCAATATCATCGTATCCAAGTTGCGTGAGTGAGTGAGTGAGTGAGTGAGTGAGAGAGTTGGATTTAACCCCACTTTTAACAGTATTCCAGTTATATCACGACTTGTCAGCTTAATGTGGGAGGAAAGCCCGAAGTGATGAAGGTCTCAGACGTTTACCACTTTGGTGAAACCCACGAGCACACTGGTATGGTGCTGACAAACCTAGAAACATAATCGGGGCAAACCGGGATTCGTACCCACAATCATCGGTGTCTGGCGTGCCTAAGGAACGCAACTCTGCACAGCGAATCGCGGCGCCTTGGGTGAACACAGACTAGTTCCTTGGTCCTGATTAATGGTTTTATGCCGCTTTTAGCAATATTTCAGCAATATCACTGCGGGGGGACACCAGAAATGGGCTTCACACATTGTATCCATGTCGGTAATCGTACCCGGGTTTTCAGCGTGACGGGCGAACGCTTTAACCACAAGGCTATTTTACCGCCCCGATTAATGGATTAGAGGCTGTGTCTATCCCTGCTACTGCCTGGAGGCCATTACACATCAATATCAACATATGCAGAATAAAACCCTTGCCTTGGCCTGACCTGTTTGAGCACTAACCACTGTGCTAAACAACCTGAACATTTAACAGAAGAGAGACAAGAATTGTATCTAAAATTTATTCTCTATCAACAAGCAATACATCACGGGTTACATATACCATACAAACAACAAAATGTGGTAAAATTACAGACACTGACTGCAAAGACGGAAATAAATAGAACAGGAGGAGAAAGTCAGGAAAGCAGGAGAGCATAAATGTTTACAAAATATCTAAAAAGTGTAGAAACGTAAGTAGGAGATCTGGCAGCCATGCAAAATGAATCTGAAGGGCAACAGCCACAGAAACATGTATACAGCATTTGGTTTAAATCTAAATGAACCTTGTAGTCCACAATTCTTAGAATCATGCATACGTTATTGACTACAAAAACCTGAAATGATAAATATCCTGAGTCAGGGTCATCCTGATAACCATACCAGCCCTGAATGAGGACATTTATCAATCCTGGTGATTCATAAAGACCCTCCAGTAATAATACCTATAACAAACACTGAAAATACAATATCGGTGGAACATTTGGCAATGAGGGGGCAAAAACGTTCCTGAAAATCAAAAATAATTTCACTTTCGAACAGCGTCCGCATTGGAGATTCTGGACATTTGATATATGCTGATCCTATACAGGCAGATTGTTCTCACAGCTTGCGTAGGAGCGGCAATGGCAAACCCTGATCAATTCAGCCCAGCAGTATGGTAGAAAACTTTTCTTGTAAAGAATCAAAAAGAATACATATCTTTCTCATAAATACATCTTCCTACATATTACAAACTGTACACTTGGAAGAGCAACTTGTATAACCATGCAGTGACACAGAATGACAGAAATCATTAGAATATGACCACTACAAAATATTAAATGAGACAATGATCTCATGGTTTTTATATCAATGTTGTTTTGGAAAAGTGGATGATGTGGCTTAGTGAGTGAGTGAGTATGGTTTTACGCCGCTTTTAGCAATATTCCAGCAATATCACGGCAGGGGACACCACAAATGGGCTTCACACATTGTACCCATGTCGGGAATCGAACCCGGGTTACGGCGTGACGAGCGAACGCTTAAACCACTAGGCTACCAGACCGCCCCTGATGTGGCTTAGATGAATGCCTATTTGCTTATAGTATTTTGAAAAGTTGGAAGTTTTATTAATACAAGTTAATTGATTACATAATATTTCACACATGCAATAATCCATTTGTTATTACAGACCCTTTGAATAATAAAACGGGCAATAATAGATGAACGCATGACGGAATCTAGAATCCAGTTGACGAGAACTTGACAATGGGACATGCTGATTGTTGATTGCTAGGAGACAAGGCTGCAGCTATACCATATCTTTTCATAGCAAGCAATTTGTATCAATTAAACTTCACACACATTTACAGGGGGTAACAATTCATCATGTTTCGTGTCTTTGGACGCTAAAGCTTTGACAGAGGTGCCTGACCAGCTTTCTGAATATGATTTCTAATCAAAGGGATAAATTATTGGATACCAATACCAACATGCGTGAAGCACCAAGGTCGCAAGGTCATAGGGATACAGCCGCCTGTATTGTGATGAGCCCTAGAAACAATGCATTGTGTTGCATTGGACATTCTATTTACAGAATAACGATTTCGCCAATCCTACATTCTCAAAAGTAAATACAATATCAAATGCAACTCCTACTCAATGCATATTTGTTGATAATATTGGCAAACACCCAAACTCTTATGCTGGCCCCTATTTGGAAGAGTGTGAAGCCCAGTACCCCTTGAATAGCCTTGGTGCATCACTTGACCTTGACCTAGTTCTTAAGCTCTGAACCTAGTTCCAATACATCCAATCTGGACCTACACTACTGCTCACAACATTCTACCCCTTTCCTGCAGTACCACTGTTATACAGTCTGCAAACAGTCATAAAGTGGGAGATATTTATGAACAGTGCTGTAAATCAATAATTTTAACCCTGGACTCAGTTCAAAGCTGTTAAATGTGGACTTCAATCATGTCAGACTTACCACAATTTAACTCTTGATCTTGATCCAAAGTTTTAATTTGACCTAGTACCAAACTTTCTGCCATATACCTAGCTCCAATATCTGAACCTTGATTCAAGTTCCATAGATTTTTTTACCTATTTCCAAAACCTGTTCCCAAGCTTTGGCTCGACCTAGTTCAATATTTGGAACTAGATCGAACAACTTGCATCATCCTTGCTCCAAAACATCCAATCTGGAGCCAGTTACATAACAGTTAAAAAACTTGGTACTACCAGTCGAAAACCAAAATCCCTGTGAATGGTAATCATATTTAGACAAGCTGACGGAACACACCTTGGAATATGCTGTGCCTGTTGGTCCTGCCCATACCAAATATTTAATTGTGGAATGACTTCACAAACAAAATATGCAAGATTTGTATTAATGAGAGGAGTGAGTGAGTGAGTATGGTTTTACGCCGTTTTTAGCAATATTCCAACGATATCACGGCGGGGGACACCACAAATGGGCTTCACACATTGTACCCATTGAACCCCGGTCTTCGGCGTGACGAGCGAGCGCTTTATCCACTAGGCTACCACACCGCCCCATTAATGAGAGGAAACCAAATGAACTCTGATTAACACTGCTGCAGATCGTAACAATCAGATCTTTGTAAACACGTTGAAACACATGCACAAATGAATTTCAAATCATCTGCAAAATTTCATACTGACAGAACTCAAAACAAATCTCTTGTCCTGTTTCTAACATTTCTTGATCTTTCTGATTCTCAGAGATGCTGTCAGCAGGGTATGGACTGATGGGATCTTAGTTTTGATTCTGAAAGGTGCTGATTCCGTGGAATGAACATTTTGCACACAGAAAACTCCAAAAAGGAATATGAGCATTTTGAAGGGAACTGTGTTCCTCCCTCGAACTCCCAACACAGGATGAAATAGAAAATATAGGATTTACATGAACAGTTAATAGCTTATTTCATCGAAGTGAAATTATCCAATCAACAGGATCTGTCCAAACACATACAAAATCTAACTTGAGAAAATCAGTGTAAGTTCGATAAGTTGTGCATACCCGTTAGATTCACAGAAGAGAAGGTCTGAGTGGCAATGACTACACCAGTGCTTTAGTGCTCAGGAGTGTTTGCATCAAACCAGACCTATTTCTTAAACATTTGATCAGTACTTATCAGCGAGGAAACACTTGCCTACTTCATGCAGGATTTGTTTAATAATACAAATAGTCCTTTCTTACCATTATCGCTTCAAATATTACGCATAATTATCTCCTCAATACTACAATCTCCTAGGTTTAGTTAGGTCATTGAGGCGGATCCAGGATTTTGAAAAAGTGGGATTGCGAAGTTAATTGGCTGAGAGTGCAGGTGACACGTCAGGTGTCTAAAAATTGTGAGTGTGTGTCTGTTTGTGTCCCCCCCCCCCCACATCCTCCTCTGGATCCACCTGGTCATAGGTAAGTCAGCTTCTTCTATCAAATGTCTTAAACAAACATACCAAAAAAATACTGACTCGTCAATCTTCAATGCTGTGGAATTACCATTCAATGAACATTCAATGAATATTCATGAATTGGACTAAATGTGCTAACTTCTTGCTTCGTGTTTCATGTTCCTCAACATCTCCTGAATCTAAACGTTCACCTGTTAAGCAACACGGAGATGCTATACACAGAGCCACAAGCTTACACAATATAGCTTACATCGTACACGACAAAGTCATTGCACAGAATTGTTGCCGTGACAACTTGGGGGTCTCAAAGGTGGGCCATCATGGTGAATCCAATATTTACTGATAGAACATGTTGGGCATTAATGTTACAAATTGTTTGCATCAAACATTCTGGTTCATAGGGAAACTTAATCTCCTTATTGAAAACACTAATGCCCCCAATCACCAGCCCCCCCACCCCCCCTCGAGACCCTCACGTTTACACACAGTAACAGGAAGGCTGAATTTCTCACCAGTTTTGACTAAGACATACTGTACATACTGGTGAGTCTACATAGTTCAGAGATTGCACTATTTCCTTATAAAACCATGCAACAGATCAGAGTACGAACATCAGACCTGTCAATCCCAAAACAATCATTTACAAGCTTTTTTATACAAAATCTTCTCTGCCAAAACATGTCACAAAATGTCTCCTGAAACAAGAGATATATTTTTTATAGAACAATGACGAACAGACCTCTTAAATAATCATTCTCTGCTATTTCATTCAAAGATTAATTTCTTGAACTGATCATACCAAAGATCGAAACACACAATAAAACCATCCCTATCAGTAAAACAAACTTTCACAAAGTCGGAAAACATTCACACAAAATTAAAATATCAAATAGAAAACAAAGTTATCCCCGAAGAAACCTCAAAGATGTACATGTAGGTGATAGCTTCGAGAAGGATTTTCCATAGTGTGAATGACAACAGTATAGCAAGTGTTGCGTACATGCTGTATCAGAAGAGTACGGATCAGCTAATTCTGGCCATATATACCAATGTTCATGCACAGTATTCAAGGTGAAGGAAAATTAAAGATAAATATGTTGCCGTGACGACAGATCTGTGTGCCATGATTTTACCAAACTGTTATCGTGTAGTGTGGTCACACCTCAACACAAACCAGTAACAGTTGTGTTCGTGAAGTCCATACAGTTCGGCAATCAAACAAAATGACGATATTTGTACAAGATGTTGAATTGTTCGGACAAGTTCCCATGAGCTTGTTCTGTAGTGTCTTCCAACATGTTGTGTTTCCCAAGTTGGCGCAGACGTGACAGTGTTCATGCAGACAAACGATGACAGAGTTAACGAGCGTCACAATCCACTAACACAGTGACCCCTGGTGGCAGCTAGAGGCATCGGTCACACATGAACGCACGTGTAGATTTCAACACCAAGTTGACAACAGCTCACACAAGTGACGCACAAACACGTGAGTCTGAAAAAAAAGAAAAGAATAATTGTCACGTGTTTTGTTACATAAAATTGATGGAGTGCAGAGCTAGAGATAAGTGTTTGGTAATTTGGGTATTTAACCCAGGGGTTTCATTTTGATTGGGTATCCACAAGATTTAGAGGGTATTCAATTTTCGTTTACCCACCTGTTTCTTGACATTTGGGTATTTAAGCTATTATGAGTTATCTCCCTTCTATGTCCCTATTGACCAATCAGATTCCATCTCTTATATCACTTGCGTCTGCTCCAAACAAAATGGCAGCACCCAGCCAAGATGATATGATTGATAATTTAGATCCATATTGTAATAAAATGGATCTTACCCCTCAAAGTGCATCAAATCACTTGAACACCTTGATTAAAAAGATGAAACAATTTGCAAAATATCTGTTGACACCAAGTTGACACCAGTTTGGATTGACTTTGCATAGACTCGTTCTTGCAGCCAAAATGTAACTCCAGAATTCCAGTCTAGTTCGGCAAGGGTGGCAAAAGGACTTTCATAGTCAGCTAACTCTCTAGCCTCTGGATTACGTATGCCACACAAATCTGGTGAAATGCAAAAATTCCAACCTGTATGTGCAGCAGAATCATGAAATACTGAAACTCACTTTAGCTTAGAAGAGACCACAATCTTTGAGGTTGTTCTTGATGATGACGTCCGTGACGGCGTCAAAGACAAACTGTACATTGTTCGTGTCGGTGGCACAGGTGAAGTGAGTGTAGATCTCCTTCGTGTCCTTGCGCTTGTTGAGGTTCTCAAACTGGAGCTGGATGTACGCTGCTGCTTCCTCGTAGGTGTTGGAGCCTGCAACACAAGGTCAAGGTCAGACCAGTCAAGGTCAAGGTCAGACCGGTCAAGGTCAGACCAGTCAAGGTTAAGGTCAGGCCAGTCTCCAGAAACCCAATAAGGCTTTGCAGGGGGAATTGGCTACCATTGTGGGAAACAAAAAACAACAGAAATTTCATTCAGTCTAATGCCCAATCCCATGAGCATTATTAATGTACTTCATTGTCCTCCTGATTCAGGACCAACGATTCTGGTGGCAGTCTTGGATTGCTATAAGTCACTCTTTCAAGACAAAAAAACAACCCCTTTTTCTTAAAGGTGAGTGAGTGAGTTGGGTTTAACACTGCTTTTAACAGTTTTCCAGTTATATCGGCGTGTCAGCTTAATGTGGGAGGAAAGCCCGAAGTGATGAAGGTCTCAGACGTTTACCACTTTGGTGAAACCCACGAGCACGGGTATGGTCGTGACAAACCTAGAAACATAATCGGGGCGAACTGGGATTCCAACCCACAATCATAGGTTTCTGGCGTGCCCAAGGGACGCAACTCTGCAAAGCGAATCACGGCGCCTTAGACGGCTGGGCCACCTGTGCCCCCTCTTAAAGGTGAGGTGAGGTGAAATGGGGTTTAACGTCGCGTCCAAGATTATTGCACTTATATAGCGACGTGCATGCACGTGTGTGTGTGTGTGGCTGCTTGTACTAGTCCGGACTGATGCCGATTTATAGTGCTAGCTCACTGAGATACCATGCCGCAGTTTAACATGAATATCCCACTCAGACACAGTATACTGACTCCGAGCCGACCAGACCTTGTTTTATCCCCTTAATGCCGAGCACCAGACAGGGTACCAACAAGTACCATCTTTTAACGTCTTTTGGTATGACGCAGCTGGGGATCAAACCCCGGACCTTCCGCGTGCGGAAACTCTACCACTAGACCACGGAGGCGGTCCCTCTCCTAAAGGTGAAGTGAAATGGGGTATAATGTGGGAGTTAAGATTATGCATGTGTGAGGCTGCTTGTACCAGTCCAGACTAATGCTGGTTGATAGTGCTAAGCCTACTGAGGGGCGGTCGGGTAGCCTAGTGGTTAAAGCGTTCGCTCGTCATGCCGAAGACCCGGGTTCGATTCCCGACATGGGTACAGTGTGTGATGCCCATTTCTGGTGTCCCCCGTCGTGATATTGCTGGAATATTGCTAAAAGCGGCGTAAAACCCCACTCAAGCACTCACTAAGCCTACTGAGATAACATGGATGAGCTGTTACCTGTAAACTCCGGGAAGCAGATCGTGAGGGCCGACTTCTTGATCTTCTCCTCAAACAGATCCTTCTTGTTGAGGAAGAGGATGATTGAGGTGTCTGTGAACCACTTGTTGTTGCAGATGGAGTCGAACAGCTTCATACTCTCCATCATACGGTTCTGTGGACACATGGATCACACATTAATCTCATTTCTTTATTTCCATACTGAGGAGGCCACCAGCCTTCAGTACATTTATAATTACCGTATTCGACGGAATAAGCGCCCAGGGTGCTCTCAAAATTAGAAATAGGGGGCTCTTATTAGAATAAAACTTTGCTGAAAAAAAAAAAGAGTTGAAAGATCGTACATTTCGTGATTTATACTGATAGCCTGAAATGAAACAAAAGAAAAGTCTGTGCGTCGTATACACGACATATACATTTTTGCGTATTATACACGGATAAATAAGTCTTGCGTACATTGATCAATTGGAAGGGGTGCTAATTGGGATTGTTCACTAGCCAATATCTTAGCAAATGTAGCCGTGGGCGCTTATTAGAGCGGGGCGCTTATTACGTCGAATATGGTAAATCCTTTCTTACCATTTTGTAATAAATACATTTGTTTGATTCAAATATTAATCTCATGTAACCGCCTAAAATTCTTGTACACATAAACACGACACATGAAGCAAAAAGTGAAGTATCATTTTTTAACAGAACTTTAAGAATTTTAAAGTAAAGTACAGTTAGGATCACAGACTCTGCATGTGGAACGCTTGGTGACTGGATTCCATCTGGCCCCGTTACTAGGGCTGGCCCAAAAGATTGATAATCGGAATTATCATCGATGGGAAGAAATATTAACGATTATCGATATGATCCCGCATATACAATTGTGATGAAATAAAGTTTAAATTTCCCCAAACAGACTTGTTATTATCAATCATGTCATTTGCCAAATACGGAAAAGAACTGTTTTTGTTATGACTTTATTGTCCACGAAGTAATCCATGCATAAATGTGTCACCTCTCACCAGTGGCATGAAGTGTGTTGACCTCTTTCGGACTTTTCTGTACATTTGCTCAAAGTTACTTCTCCGGTATTTATTTATAACTGATCGATATTTAGTTTGCAATTATCAATCTCTATGATAGCCAGCCCTACTTATAACTGCTGTTGTTACTGTCTGTCATGGCTACTCTGTTTATGTGTGGATACGAAACTTCCCCTCGAATACGAAACTGCTGTCTATGATTTGAGAATGACTTTACGGCGGCCATCTTGGTTTGCTCTAGGCAGGCAGTTGAGTGACAACCTGTGTGGGTGCAGGAGATGTATTGTGATGGCAGATGGATTTTGAATACAAGTGTATCTGAAGAACCTGTGTCTGTCTATTTTATCATACGCACCATCTCCTGATCTTCGGCGAGAGTGAGGTCATATTCACTCATGGCTACAATGAAGATGATGGCCGTCACACCTTCAAAACAGTGGATCCACTTTTTCCTCTCAGACCGCTGGCCACCAACGTCAAACATTCTGTACCAACACACGGAAACAGTTCAGCAAAGAAATCAACAAAAAAACAACCCATCCACCCTGAATACAGCGAGTCCGCGAGTTGAAATTCCTCAGCAGTATAGTGATGGGGAAGACAACACGAGACAAATTAATATACGAGCAAAACCTCAATGATACACATACACTAGTTTGGACAATACTTTCTTACTCAAGGTGGTCATTTGTTTGTTTGTAGTTTAGTTTGTTTGTTGTCCAGTGCCACACTCTGTCTCTCTGTGTGTGTGTGTGTGTGTGTGTGTGTGTGTGTGTGTGTGAGACCCATATCAAAACTTCTATCTAAGGGAGGATATCAAATAATTTGACTTTGATTTTCCCCAAATACAGAATATTCTTAATGGAAAACTGCCTCAAATATCAGAATATGTCTTGCATTATGTAAACTGACATAGAACTTGGAAAACATCACTGCTGAATTATCTCCCTTTGACCATGTACAAATTAGAAAAACAACAATTTGTTTTGAATTTTAAAATAACAGCCATGGTATCAAATGACAAACCTATATTATCTGCATTAGTCAAAAAAAGCAAAAACATTTTACACAATTACAGATTTTCTTATTTTTTTTGTTATTCTGTTATTTTTGTCATCTTAACTCACTTGAAATGTAAATCTTTAAATGTGAAGTGTGTCTCTACGATGCCAGTTGTCTTAACCCTTGTTCTCAGCACATCCTGCTCTGTTGGGATGTAGCCGGGGTTGGAGATGCGGTCCAGTGCATTCAAGTAGCTGAAATACATCATGTCAATATTATTTTTTTACCTACGAGGGCAAACATATTGGGGATTATAAAAATCATACGTGCCCTACGGACATATCACGTCACGAGACAACACTGTATTGTTTCCATCGTCCGGGTGGCATTGTTCACGTCATCCGAATCTTATTGTGACGTGAGGTTGGAATGACGTCATAGCTGACGTAATTCGACAAATTGTGATTCGCTGCAGTTGCGACTTGCGGTACGTAAACACTAAACACGTCTCTGTATGTAGACATCTTCTTTGGTAAAAAATAGAACATTATATTCGTGTTCATGTCATAATATGTTTACGACACTCATGCCTAAATTCCGGTATTTCTCATACGATCACTCAGGAAATACCAGAATTTAGACACTCGTGTCGTAAACACAGTATGACATGAGAACTCATATAATATCCTCTATTTATGTGAACAAGGAATTAACTGTGCCTAAAATGTACAACCCCTGTGACCTAAGGTGTGCACACAAGTTGGGTAAAACAAACATCAACGCATCCATACAAACGTGAACATTGCTTGGTTTTAACACAGTGTAAACGGATGAATATATTTTTGCAAATTTAGTAAAATGTTTATATTTTTTAAGGATGCATAAAGGAGTAGTGCAGGATAAGTAAAAAAAAATTAATCTGAGAAACAATTTGTGAGCCAAATATTTGTTATTTTTGTTGAAAACATGTCACCAAATGATTCAGTTATATTCTTAATACGATAACATGATTAGTACACGTCAAAGACAAAGGGTAAGCCTCTCACAACTGGATCCATACATCCTTGATCATAGCCATTTATATTTTTAAGAGTTATCTCCCTTCTGTCATCACAGCAAAGACTTTCCCTTATACCACTGAAACTATTGAATTTTCATATGAAAACAAAATATAACAATACCATTAATATATGTTTAATGATGAGATATAATTTTCATTGTAGAAATATATTTTTAAATAATATTTTTAATAATATTTTTAATAATATTTTTAAAAATATTCAAGAACATATTCTTGATATTTTGAATTATTAGCATAGCTACGGTAAACAAAAAATACAAGTCCAGCAAATTTTACATAAATTTCAAAACAGTGTAAACAGTTTGTTTATTCTGATATCACTTACTGTACCTTCAACATACCTTTATTAAGTCTACACTTCTCTAAACATTCTCATGTATTCACTACTCAGTGCATCATGTTTTAATCAGATTGTGTCAAAAGCTTCGATGTAAATATCAATTATTACTCACTATTCGGCCGAGTCATTGAGCTGGTACTCGCGAGACCGACTGAAACACTCTTGTACGCCAAGGTCCTTCCAGAGTCGCTTCATCAGCGTGGCCACCTCCGCTGACAGCTCCCCTTCATCAGCGTTACCAGACAGCGAGAAAAACTGGCGTGCATCCTCCTGAAATATACAAAATGGAACTTATCAAACAATTTCAATAGTTGCACAAATATACGTGTTGATATTTTTTGTTCTTCAACGCCCTACTCAGTAATATTCCAGCCATATGATGGCAGTCTGTAAATCATCAAGTCTGGGCCAGAAAATCCAGTGATTGATGTTAGAATCAACCCGTTCCAGTCACCTCTTACAACCAGCATAATTAAGTTCCTGGGGAGCAATCATAACGCCGAATCCCCAAAAGGCCAAACATGATAATCTGAACAATGCATTTTCAATTTGCCCACACATATATAATACATTTAGGGATAAATGCCAGTTGTGAAAAGGTTTGCATTGTTACACAAAAAACTATGCATTTTTTACTTGTCCCCATGGACCATTATCACAGCTACAGTCCATCAAGCTGCGAGTGAGTCGGGTAAGACAGACCGGTCACTGACAGAGAGATGGAGGAGGGAGTAAAGGTATGCAACACAAGGGAACCATTCTGCCCAAACGTAATGTTAATGCTTCCATCAGCGATATTATCACAGTCTGTAAGTGGTGGTGGTGAGTGTGGTTTTACGCCGCTTTTAGCAATATTCCAGCAATATCACGGCGGGACACCAGAAATGAGCTTCACACATTGTTCCCATATCAGAAATCGAACCCGGGTCTTCGGCGTGACGAGTGAACTCTTTAACCACTAGGCCACCCGACCGCCCCCCGAAATTAGTTTGCTTCAGCCCTGCAAATGGGGAGACAATTTCAGGCTTGTGAAGTTTGTTTGTTTGTTTGTTTAACGCCGCATTCAGCAATATTCCAGCTATATGACGGCGTCTGTAAATAATCGAGTATGGACCAAACAATCCAGTGACTGACATCATGACCATTGCTCTCCGCAATTCGGATACGATGACATGCATCAAACAGGGAGCCTGACCACCCGATCCCGTTAGTTGCTTCTCACGACAAGATTCCAGGCTTGTACAACATACACTCTGCAGCTCAGTTCAATCTTTTATAGCATTTTCAGAGGATGAGTTTGGAAATTTACAAAAATCTATTCACACGTGGAGGATTTATCTACACCTGCTCTGATACTTGGCCCAAGGTCTGCAGCCAATGTCAGTACAAATCCCCAAAACGGAATTACACATTTCCCAATGCCTGTAGTCATAGTTATGATCAATGACAACCAGTGTTATGGCTTAGTAGAGGTGTGTTGTATTTCACTGATAACAGGATAAAAATAGAGGATAGAGCCAATGAATTTTTAGTTATTGTGCAAGATGAATCATCGCATTCCTTTTCTCAAAAGGAAGTAATAACACGTTTAATCATTCATTTACTTATTTGTTTACTTATTTATTCCTCAGGGTCAGGCAATTCATATCCTTGTTCACTGAGAAACCTGCTGTAGAATTTTGCACACATCCCAATTTCCAAATGTAATGGTGACTGACGATCTCATCCCCCTACTAGAGGTGTAATGATACGGTGGGCCGTGATACGACACGTATCCCAATGCAGTACATTTATATCATAGGTGACATTCTTTCTTTTAGCAGGTGAAACACAACCCTGAATCATTTGTTTTTAAATTTCAGAGAGTGAGGGCGGGATGTTGAAGGGCAGAACAATATAGGCTAGAGGGCACTGTGAATATTATGCTATTTGTAGCCAAACAGAAAATACTAGAGAAACGGTATTTGCTGGTTCTTGAACAGTTTGTTAGAATTCAAATGTTTTTTACAAAATATAACTTGAAAAATATTGTATTGTATGTATTACCACAGGAGTTGTAAATCGATGTATTGTATTGTAGAGTGAGTGAGTGAGTGAGTGAGTGAGTGAGTGAGTGAGTGAGTGAGTGAGTGAGTGAGTGAGTGAGTGAGTGAGTGAGTGAGTGTTTTATGCCACTTTTAGCAATATTCCAGCAATATCACGGCGGGGGACACCAGAAACGGGCTTCACACATTGTACCCATGTCAGGAATTGAACCTGGGTCTTCAGCGTGACGAGCGAACGCTTTAACCACTACCCGACCGCCCCCCAAGACTCGAGAAAATCTTGAGGCTTTAGTTGTTTTCTCCCAAAATCTAGTTATTCTATATCAGCCACAGGTCCAAAATGAGCTGCGGACTAGTTAGATAAGACCAATGGTGTCTACCAATGGATAGTTCATTAATTATCATATCTAGTGTCCCAAATTAATCATGAAAAGATTTAGGGGTACCTAAATTCAAAATTTGCAAAAGACCTCAATGACCCCAGGGCCTCCTTAATATCCAAAACAGATATCATATTGATTATATATTTTCAAATATCATTAGTAAGACGAGTGCATCCTTAGTAAGACTGTCATGGGAAAGTGAATTCTACACCAATAGTTGTTGACACTCAGATCAACAGAATTGACACTATAATTATCTGGATATGACACATAATTAACATATTTATAACACAGAATATTTCTCTGTCACATGTGTCACGACTGTACGTATCACCCAGTGAGTATACATATTGTTATACCATGGCCATTCAAGCATGGGACAGCTTATAGGAAACATACCAGGTATTATTTGATGTCAAAGCTTGATGTACCGTAGTTGCCATATTAAGCACCCTGCTCCAATGCCCGATTGACTTCTAGACCAAGGTGTAAGCACTCTTTATAAGCACCCGCTACTAAGACGGAAACTACATCACAGTCCGTGATTTTACAAATGTTTTACAGAAACCAGGCAGCAACATAGGAGGTCGGTTGGTTTGTAGTTTTACGCCACACTCAGCAATATTCCAGCTATATGACGGCGGTTAGTAAATAATCCAATCTTGACCAGACACTAGTGATTGACATCATGAGCATCAATCCACGCAAATGGGATACGATGACATGCATCAACCAAGTCAGCCAGCCTGACCACCCGATCCCGTTAGTCGCCTCTTACAACAAGCATAGTCGCCTTTTAAGGCAAGCTTGGTTGCTGAAGACCTATTCTATCCCGAATCTTCATGGGTCGCAACATAGGAGGAGTATATATATTCCCTGGTAACTATTTATGAAAATGTCTCAGTTTCATCGACGTTTCAACTAAGATTGTTCACTCCCACTTGATCTGTGAAATCAAATTTTACTTGTGTATGGTTTCGAAAAGTAACCCCCTTTGTAAATTTTCTTAAGCCCACGGTACTTATTATAGTGAATATGGTAATTTGGTACACTGCTTTTTCCTAGACCCCAGTTCACCCAAGATGAATTGACAGGGTTTTGTACACAGGGCATATTTGACAGAATTACATTTGGTCAGTGAATATACATATATCCATATTGATATACCGTATTACCTACAGTTCTGTTTATCATGTTTAGATGATACAGTCGTGTGACAGCCATGAGTTACTTGTACACAGTGAGTGAGTGAGTTGGGTTTAACGCCGCTTTTAACAGTATTCCAGTTATATCGCGGTGTGTCAGCTTAATGTGGGAGGAAAGCCCGAAGTGATGCAGGTCTCAGACGTTTACCACATCGGTGAAACCCATGAGCACAGGTATGGTGCTGACAAACCTAGAAAAATAATTGGGGCGAACCGGGATTCGAACCCACAATCATAGGTTTCTGGTGTGCCCAAGGGACGCAACTCTGCACAGCGAATCGCGGCGCCTCAGACGACTCGGCCACCCGTGCCCCCTACTTGACCAGAGGCAGACGATGCACATTATCAACATGGCAGCCAATTGCAGTCACGGTGCCTCTAGATGGCGCCACTTATTCAAATAATGGCGTGGTGACTTGGTTTTTTTATTGCGTAATTTGATTCAGGACATATTTTCCTACAAAATGATACCAAATATACCCATTTCTTGATTTTTTTGTTTTTTGTATGCAACCTCTTTAAATCACTTAAACAACAATATCTTATTGTGCAATCCAAATATAGAGTGCCAGCATAGGGCAGAACAAGTTATGCCAAAATCAAACTCGGAGAAGTGAGTGAGAATATTAAAGTTATATCATGGGGTTAGTTTTTAACCGAATCACTGGTAGATTCCGAGAAAACGTGAGTACAGCTGATTGCTACTTCCGGCTTAGTTTACGAAACAATACACACTGTAATCTTAATCTCTTCATATAATAAACAATGCCTATCAGAACAGGAAATACATTTTAATTGGTAAATCCTCATGTCCAGTGATGTTTTATCTCAAATTTCAAATTTGTCTTGACAAGTTTAATTGTTATCATCTGTTTTGTTTACCAGCTGAAGGGATACGATGTAATTTTTTTCTGCCGAAGACAGACATGTTTTGATTGCAAATGTAGGGATAGTGTATGCACTGGTGATGTGCTTCATTCCGAATCGCTTTATAGATTCGGTATACAAATTAGCATCGATATTGAAGGCTTTTACAGGGGGGCTGCCTTATATTTATAAGGCGGGGGTTGCTTTTAGACGGTGATATACCGTATACATCACGTTGGAGTTCCCTTCTTGTAGCCAATCAGCAATGAGCAATGCCATCAAACACACAAAGTAAACACCCCCCTATATTCAGACCTATTCAGCGACTGTCTGCAGCTAAGATGACATGTGCATACTGCACTTCTACACTGTACCACTTCCTGTTGTGGCATGCAAGTATGTCTCTTGTTTACATTGCAATTTACAAACCAGGAAACTTTATCAGCTGTTTTTGTCTTGATTTTAAAAACATATGAACATCGATTAGTCTCCCGAGCCAATCGATAATCGCCGACGCCCTCCAGATCCATCGATTGACCAATTATTCAATCAATTATCCACCATTGTGTGAAACTGTTGTGTTAATAGCAGTCTCTATGTTGCACCTATCTATAACACTGCACATCACACATGAAAATCTATAACATGGCATATTCTGAATCCCAACAACCTGTGAAAAACAATTTATAACATCCCAATTAAAACACTTGGCAATACAATTTATAACATTCCACATCCCATCATGCTCAGGACAATACTATCTATAACAC